CATCGATTTGCTCGAGCGGGCACCAGTAACGTCTCCATCGTGAGACTTGTTACTGTGTTTGGCATATCGACTACGTCGCGGGGAGCTTGCCAGTCTCTGCTGTGCGGGCAGGATACTCCTGGTGGCTTGCCGGGCTCTCCGAGAGGGGCGGAGGAATCGAACCCGGGTCAGTCGTGTCGACCGCGTGCGAGGCAATCGCCCTCCCGGCTGTGCTAGTGCTCCAGCCCCATGACTTCAGCATCCAGAGGAAAGAGAGAGGGCCGGAGCGGGGAGGCACTCGCCTGGCAGGAGCCCGGCCCTGGCTCTGGGTGCCCTGCGCCCCACCAGGAGGGACCCCTGAGCACAGAGCGAGGAGTCAGACCTGAGCACAGCTGGGTGCGCCCCCCCAAAAAAAATCACACAAAAAAGGAGTAACCCTGAGCACCGCCAGGTGTGGGGCCCCCCACACCCCAATAAAAGAACTAGATCTGCTTGACAGCCTCTGCCTCACCCGTCCTACCTGGGCTGCCCCCTGAGGCCCCAAACGCAGCTCCTAAGGGCACAGTGATCCATCAGCACCCTGGCTCAGTGACGCAGGAAGGGGCTGGGCAGAGGCAGGAGCGGACACAACCCAGTGGCATCTGCACCCCCACCCCCAGACGAAGGGGGGGGCGTGGTCCCCGGGGAGGGCAACATGTCCGAAAAGCCTTGGAAGGTGCTGGGCTGCTCACGCGTTTATTTGGGCTACAGCGGGTGGTGCTCAGGGCTGACTCCCGGCTCTGTGCTCAGGGGTGACTTCCGGCTCTGTGCTCAGGGCTGACTCCCGGCTCTGTGCTCAGGGCTGACTCCCGGCTCTGTGCTCAGGGGTGACTTCCGGCTCTGTGCTCAGGGCTGACTCCCGGCTCTGTGCTCAGGGCTGACTCCCGGCTCTGTGCTCAGGGCTGACTCCTGGTTCTGTGCTCAGGGCTGACTCCTGGTTCTGTGCTCAGGGCTGACTCCTGGTTCTGTGCCCAGGGCTGACTCCCGGCTCTGTGCTCAGGACTGACTCCTGGCTCTGTGCTCAGGGCTGACTCCTGGTCCTGTGCCCAGGGCTGACTCCTGGTTCTGTGCTCAGGGCTGACTCCCGGCTCTGTGCTCAGGGCTGACTCCCGGCTCTATGCTCAGGGCTGACTCCTGGTCCTGTGCCCAGGGCTGACTCCCGGCTCTGTGCCCAGGGCTGACTCCCGGCTCTGTGCTCAGGGGTGACTCCCGGCTCTATGCTCAGGGCTGACTCCTGGCTCTGTGCTCAGGGGTGACTCCCAGCTCTATGCTCAGGGCTGACTCCTGGTTCTGTGCTCAGGGCTGACTCCCGGCTCTGTGCTCAGGGCTGACTCCCGGCTCTGTGCTCAGGGGTGACTTCCGGCTCTGTGCTCAGGGCTGACTCCCGGCTCTGTGCTCAGGGCTGACTTCCGGCTCTGTGCTCAGGGCTGACTCCTGGTTCTGTGCTCAGGACTGACTCCTGGCTCTGTGCTCAGGGCTGACTCCTGGTCCTGTGCCCAGGGCTGACTCCTGGTTCTGTGCTCAGGGCTGACTCCCGGCTCTGTGCTCAGGGCTGACTCCCGGCTCTATGCTCAGGGCTGACTCCTGGTCCTGTGCCCAGGGCTGACTCCCAGCTCTGTGCCCAGGGCTGACTCCCGGCTCTGTGCTCAGGGGTGACTCCCGGCTCTATGCTCAGGGCTGACTCCTGGCTCTGTGCTCAGGGGTGACTCCCAGCTCTATGCTCAGGGCTGACTCCTGGTTCTGTGCTCAGGGCTGACTCCTGGTTCTGTGCTCAGGGCTGACTCCCGGCTCTGTGCTCAGGGCTGAGTCCCGGCTCTGTGCTCAGGGGTGACTTCCGGCTCTGTGCTCAGGACTGACTCCTGGCTCTATGCTCAGGGGTGACTTCCGGCTCTGTGCTCAGGGGTGACTCCCGGCTCTGTGCTCAGGAATGACTCCTGGCTCTGGCTCAGGGCTGACTCCTGGCTCTGTGCTCAGGGCTGACTCCCGGCTCTGTGCTCAGGACTGACTCCTGGCTCTGTGCACAGGGGTGACCCCCGGCTCTATGCTCAGGGCTGACTCCTGGTTCTGTGCCCAGGACTGACTTGTGGTTCTGTGCTCAAGGGCTGACTCCTGGCTCTGTGCTCAGGGAATCACTGCTGGTGGGGCTTGAGCTTGTCAAAGTGGCGCGGGGGACCGAACCTGGGTTACCTGTGTGTAAATGCCCTCCCCCCTGCCTCTTTGGCCCCTGGGATTTACTCCGAGCTGGCCTCAGTGTTTCTTCAAGAAAGTGCGGACTGTTTTTTTTTCTTTTTCTTGTTTTGCTTTTTGGGTCACACAAGGTGATGCTCAGGGGTTACTCCGGGCTCATGCGCTCAGGAAAAGTACTCCTGGCGGTGCTCGGGGGACCCTGTGGGATGCTGGGAATCGAACCCAGGTTGGCCGCGTGCAAGGCAAACGCCCTCCCCGCTGTGCGGTCGAGCGGGGTTCGATCCCCCAAGTCGGCCAGGAGGGATGCCTGGATGCAGAGCCAGGAGTCAGCCCTGAGCACTGCTTACCCTTTATGGGTGTCCGAGACCCCAGACTGTGCCAAGCTGGGTGCTGGGGCAGATCTGGAAGTGTGTGTGTGTGTGTGTGGGGGGGGGGGGCAGGCATCTTGTGTGGCAAGGGCAGCTGGTGCAAAGGTCCTGGGGCAGCAGGGGGCCTGGTGTGTACGTGAGTAAGGTGGGAGGAGGGCTGAGCGTGGCAGGGGCTGAGGGCAGGTGGTCTGGGCCTGGGGCGAGGCTGGCGGGGGGCTTTGCCCCAGAACCAGAGCCCGGACTCGGGGCTCGTGCGCGCCCTCTGGTGGCTGCCGCGGGAGTCACAGACTGCGTGGTGGCCGTTGGTGCCCGGTGCCCAGGGGTCTTCCCAAAAGCCCCCCGCAACCCTCGGCCTCCACCGAACACGACTCTGTGTTGAGTGGTGGAACCTGATGAATGGTGGAACATTAAAAAATTGACTTTTTTTTTTGCGGGGGGGGGTCCTACCCGGCGACGCTCAGGGGTTATTCCTGGCGGGGCCCGGGCACCATACGGGGTGCCGGGAACGGAACGCAGGTTGGCTGCATGGGAGGCAGACGCCTCCACACCGTCCTATCGCTCTGGCCCCAATAAGCATTTTTAATAATTTTAATAATAATTTTTAAGCCATTTGTGGAGACAGCAATGCAACTTTTATTTATCTTTTTTCTGGGGGGGGCACACCTGGCGCTACTCTGGGGACTCTATGGGATGCTGGGAATCGAACCCGGGTCGGTCACGTGCAAGGCAAACATCCTGCCCGCTGGACGGTCTCTCCAGCCCCTTCATGTTACTTTTATTTTATTTATTTTTTGCTTTTTGGGTCACACCCGGCGATGCTCAGGGGTCACTCCTGGCTCTGCACTCAGGAATTACTCCTGGCATATGGGATGCTGAGAATCGAACCCGGGTCGGCTGCGTGCAAGGCAAACGCCCTCTCCGCTGTGCTATCGCTCCAGCCCCTGTCACTGGTTTTCTTTTCCTTATTTTTAATTTATTTGCTTATTTATTTTTGCTTTTCAGGTCATACCTGGCGATGCACAGGGGTTCCTCCTGGCTCTGCACTCAGGAATTGCCCCTGGCGGTGCTCAGGGGACCCTCTGGGATGCTGGGAATCGAACCCGGGTTGGCCGCGTGCAAGGCAAACGCCCTCCCCGCTGTGCTATCCCTTCAGTTCCAATCCGTGTTCTTTTAAACTTACAAACCTGGGTCTGCCACATACACATGCAAGGCCAGCGCCCTCTCTGCTCCCCTCCCGCCTCATCTGTGACTAGGTGGTCCCCTTGGGTGAGGTGAGAGTCTGGGGGTGCCCACCCCCACCCCCTCCTCCAGGTTGTGTGGCTTTAAGTGCTGAGCTCTGCTCACATCAGGCTCGGCCCTCACCTCCTCCAGGAAGCCCTCCCGGAGGCCCCCGCTCCCTCTCCGCTCCTGGGTGGGGCCAGGACAGGCTTTGAGTGAGTCCCGAGGGAAAGTTCTGGAAACTGCTCCCCTGTCAGGGGTCGGCGGGCCTGGAGCTGACTTGGTCCCAGGAGTGTGTGGGTGAGGCAGGGATGACGCCAACCCTTGTCTAGTAAATGTTTACGGGGGCCCGGAGCCTGCGGGCAGCCACCCCTTCCTGCCCCGTCAGCTAGCTGGCGAGAGGTCTAGGCGGGCAGAGTGGGGAAACTGAGGTGGAGGCCGCTCCATACACCTCTCCCCTTGTGGGGAGCGGCTGGGTCTCGCGGGCAGACCTGGCCGTGTCCGAGGGGGGCCTCCGAGGGCGTGTCCCCGATTCCTCTGAACTGGGGGAGGACGGGTCAAGGAGGGCCCAGGGCCGGGACACCCACAGGCCGGGCCCGGGTCCATCTCCGAACTGGGCAGCAGGACCCCGACAGGCTCCCGGGGTACACGGCCCCTCCCGCCCCGGCGGCGCAGCTTGGCAGGACACAGGGAGAGAAAAACATTGTGGATGGGGTGGGAGGGTCCCGGGGACAGCCAGGCCCCCCAGAGGCCCGGGGAGGGGGCGGGGAGGGGCCAGCGCCCCCGAGAGCAGCATGCCAACCTGTGCCCATGCCCCGGCGACCAGGGCGGTGCCCCAGAACCTTCCTCCCCGGCCCCCCTCAGGGCGAGTTTGAGCAGGTCCAGCTGCCAGGCCCGTGGCCACGGAGCTCCGCGCCAGCATTCCGGGGGGCCCTAAATCTCCCAGAGTGACAGGCCCAGGATGGCCGCGCCCCCCACCTACCCAATGGGGAGCGGGGGGCCCTGGGCCAGGGTGCGGCGGACTCCTCGCTCCAGTGCCCGGGAACTTGGAGCCGGGCCTGGGCGTGGCCCCACTCGCGGCCGGCCTGGCTCCTGGCGGCCCAGACGGCCAGCGGGGTGGACGCTGACCGGCGCCCGGGGAGGGGCGCTCCCCCCAGTCCTCACCCCACCCCCTTCCCGCTCGCTGGCGCCCACAGAAAACGACACGCATAGAAACACACGCTTTATTGGGGTGCGGAGCCGCAGCTCAGACCTTGGGCTCCGGCTCAGACCTTGGGCTCCGGGAACAACTTCCAGCCCTCCAGCTGCCCCATCTTCATCAGCGCCGCCGCCGCGCCCAGGTACGCGCAGGCCGCTGCCCCCGTGCCGTAGCTGTGAGCTGGGGGCAGGTGGGGGCATCAGACCGTGTGGACAGCACACACACACACACACACCCCAGCTAGACTTGAAGGCGGGGAAACTGAGGCAGCAGAGGAGAGGGTGCAGACACACGGCTCAGTCGGCCCCACGGGAGGGTGCTGGCGGGGTGGGGTTGCCGGGAGGTGCCCGCCTCTCCTTGTCCACCCGGAGACCCCCCCAAGACCTCCCCCCCAGCCCGCTGGAACCTTCCACCCGGCTGCACCCCCGGCCCCCACTCACTGCGAACTCCCAGGGTCAGGCCCCCCGCGCAGCCCCCGATGAAGTAGTTGAGGGGGTCGTCGGGCTTCTCCCGGACCTGGGTGCTGACGCACGTGGCGAGGCCGAAGATGGCACCCACAGCCGCTGCAGGAAAAGAGACGGGGGCGGCGGCCCCCCACGCCTGTCACCTCCCGAGGACGCCAGCCCGGTGGGCGGCGGCGGAGGGGGGCAGTGCGGGGTTGCAGGGGGCTCACCTGCCGTGAACGTGTAGCGGCCTGTCCGCGCCGCCCCCTCCAGGAAGGAGCCCGCGGGCTGCAGGGCGATGCTGTAGGCAGAGGTGATGAGGCCTGGGGGACGGGGGGACACGGGGACACGGGAAGGGGGACGTGGTCAGCACCAGCGCTGGTTCTGAGCCAGCTCCCAGCCCGGCGGGCCCGCTCTCCCCCGGCAGGGGTGCGCCAGCGCCCGCGGTCATTCATTCATTCATTCCTGTGCACCCTCCCTCATTCATTCATTCCTGGGTGTCCTCACCCCTCTCTCTCTCCCTCAGTCCGCTGAAGCCCCCCCGACCCCCCAACTCAGTCTGTCCCGAGGTGCTCTCTCATCCCTTCATTCACCCGAACCCCTGGGAATCATGATTCGCTCTTTTCTTTTTGCTTTTTGGGTCACACCCGGCGATGCGCAGGGTTTATTCCCGGCTCATGCACTCAGGAATCACCCCTGGCAGTGCTCAGGGCACCCTATGGGATGTCGGGGATCGAACCCGGGTCGGCCGGGTGCAAAGCCAAGGCCCTCCCTGCTGTGCTATTGCTCCAGCCTGGCGCATTTTCTTTCTTCCTTTTTATTTTTTTTTGTTTTTTGCTTTTTGGGTCAAACCCGGCGATGCCCAGGGGTTCCTCCTGGCTCATGCACTCAGGAATCACTCCTGGTGGTGCCTGGGGGGACCCTATTGGATGCTGGGAATCGAACCCGGGTCATCGGGGTGCAAAACCAACCCCCTCCCCGCTGTGCTATCGCTCCAGCCCCCTCCTGATTCACTCTTTTTTTTTTTTTTTGCTTTTTGGGTCACACCTGGCGATGCTCAGAGGTTCCTCCTGGCTCTGCACTCAGGAATCACTCCTGAATGGTGGTGCTTGGGGGACCCTATGGGATGCTGAGAATCGAACCCGGGTCACCCGGGTGCAAGACCAACCCCCTCCCCGCTGTGCTATCGCTCCGGCCCCCTCCTGATTCACTCCTGATCTCTCTCGCCCCGCCCTGCCTGGCAGGTCGCAGGGGACCCTAGGAGGTGTGGAGGGTGGAACCCAGGGGGGCGGCCCGGACCCAGGACCCCCGACCCAGGTGTCTGGGTGTGTGTGTGGGGGGGGGCTCTCCCTCCTGTCCTTTCTCCGGAACACCCCCCACCCTCATCAGGATGACCCGCAGGCCGCTAGGACCCAGGCCCACCCCCAAAGCAGGTCAAGAGCCCAGGGTCCAGGCCTGGGGGACGCGCCCACGCAGCGGACCCCCAGCGACCCTCGGGGCTCCCGAGGTCCCTGACAGTCCGTCCACGGGCCTCCACGGACCCCCCCCCCATGCCCCCAAGTTGCCACCCCTGGGAAGCCAGCAAGACCCTCCCCCGGAAATCCAGCCAGCCCCTAAGTCACGTGCATCCCCGCCCCCCAGCCCTGCAGACCCCCCGACTGTGTCAAGCCCCGCGCCGGCGCCGATCGCGGCAAGACCCCGCCCACATCCCGACGTCCAGCCCGCCGTGACCCCCTGACCTCCCGGGGCCCCGTGACCCCCTGACCTCCCCCCCGCCCCGTGACCCCCTGACCTCCTCCCCCCGCCCTGCAGACCCCACGGCCCGCGTCCATCTGCCAAGCCCCCCGATCGCAGCACGGCCCCGCCCACACCCCGACGTCCAGCCCGCCGTGACCCCTGACCTCGCCCCCGCCCCGTGACCCCCTGACCTCCCCCCCGCCCGGCCCGGCCCGGCTGACCCGTGACCTGCCCGCGCTCACCCACGGCGCCGCCCACCCCGGTGGCGGCGTAGGCCTTGCGGTGGCACTCGGTGCCGTCGGGGATCGCCCAGTACTGCTGGAAGAGGGTCCGCACCATGGCTGCGACCCCCGCCCGCTCGCTCCGCCGCTCCGCCCGCCCCGGCCAAGGGCAGCCGCGCGCGCTCTCGCGAGACTTCCGGGGCGGCGCGCGCAGCCGGCGGCGGCGGCAACAAGCGCCGAACTTTATTGAGCGCCGCGGACACGGACACGGACACGGACACGGACGCGGACGCCGAGCCGCCTCGTCGGGGGGAGCGGAGGGAGGGAGGGAGGGAAGGAGGGAAGGAAGGAAGGAAAGGAGGAAGGAAGGAGGAAGGAAGGAAAGAAAGAAGGAAAGGAAGGAAAGAAAGAAAGGAAGGAAGGAAGGAAGGGAAGGAAAGGAGGAAGGAAGGAAGGAAGGAAGGAAGGAAGGAAGGAAGGAAGGAAGGAAGAAAGGAAGGAAGGGAGGGAGGGAAGGAAAGGAGGAAGGAAGGAGGGAAGGAAAGGAGGAAGGAAGGAAGGAAGGAAGGGAAGGGAGGGAATGAGGAAGAAAGGAAAGAAAGAAAGAAAGAAAGAGAGAAAGAAAAAGAAAGGAAAGAAGGAAGGAAGGAAAGAAAGAAAGTGAGGAAGGAAGGACGCGCGGAGCCGCCGCCTTGTTTCTCTTCGCGGGGCGCACACGTGGCGCTGCCCTGGGCTCCTGGCTCTGTGCTCTCGGATCACTGCTCCGAGCACCCGGGATCGAACCCGGGCCAGGCGAGCAATCTGCCGTCTACCGTACGCTCTACCCGAGAGCCCCCCGCCCAGATTGGGATGGGAGAGGACCCGGCGGGGAGCAGAGATGTGCCTGACTCGGTGACCCGGGCTCACCCCGGGGCCAGCCCCCACCCACCTCTCACACCCCCCGAGCCGGAGCCCGAGCAGCGTGCGTCTGTTTGGGGGGCGCGGTCGGTCGGGGCCGTGTCTTCCGAGAAAACCCGCCAATCGCTGCTCTAGGACCTGGCCCGTCGGCCACTTGGCAGTTTGTTCGAGCTGTCAGAATAGTCCCTAAACGAGAGAAGGATGCTCTTAGACAGGGGGCGTGGTCACATCGGGACCTGGCCAATCCGCGAGCCGCGCAAGCCTAAAGGCGTGAGAGAGGCCAATGAGGGAGGCGCGGTTGTCTGGGGGCGTGGCCAGGGGCGGGGCTTATGGGACCGGACTGCAGCCAATCGCGCGGAGGTCCGGCCCCGTCCCCCGGGTAGCCCCTCCCCTGTGGGGGCGGGTCCTACGGGGCTGCAGCCAATCGTGCTGTGGTCCCTGTCTGGCCTCCGGGAGGGCTTGGCCGGGCTCGGTTCCGGGTAGCTCAGGGGGCGTGGCCCGTGGGTAGCCCCTCCCCGTGGCGGGCGGGGCCTACGGGACTGCAGCCAATCGCGCGGAGATCCGGCCCAGGCCCTCCGGTAGCCCCTCCCGTGGGGGCGGGTCCTACGGGGCCGCAGCCAATCGTGCTGTGGTCCCGATCTGGCCTCCGGGCGGGCACGGCCGGGCCCGGTTCCGGGTAGCCCGGGGGCGTGGCCCGCGGGTAGCTCCTCCCCGTGGGGGCGGGGGCCTACGGGGCTGCAGCCAATCGCGCGGAGGTCCGGCCCCGGCCCCCGGTAGCCCCTCCCCCGTAGGGGCGAGTCCTACGGGGCTGCAGCCAATCGTGCTGTGGTCCCTGTCTGGCCTCCGGGAGGGCTTGGCCGGGCTCGGTTCCGGGTAGCTCAGGGGGCGTGGCCCGTGGGTATCCCCTCCCCGTGGCGGGCGGGGCCTACGGGGCTGCAGCCAATCGCGCGGAGGTCCGGCCCAGGCCCCCGCGTAGCCCCTCCCCGTGGGGGCGGGGCCTACGGGGCCGCAGCCAATCGTGCTGTGGTCCCGATCTGGCCCCGGGCGGGCTGGGCCGGGCCCGGTTCCGGGTAGCGCGGGGGGCGTGGCCGGCCCGGAGCGCGGCCGGGGCCATGTCGGCGCCGCAGCCCCTGCAGATCCGCGAGGCCAACGCACACCTGGCGGCCGTGCACCGGCGCGCGGCGGAGCTGGAGGCGCGGCTGGACGCGGCGGAGCGCACGGTGCGCTCCCAGGCCGAGCGCCTGGCCCGCCACGACCAGCAGCTGCGCGCTGCCCTGGACGAGCTGGGCCGCGCCAAGGACCGGTGAGGCCCGGGGCACGCCAGGTGGCCTTCCCGGAGGAGGAGGCGGAGGAGGAGGAGCCGGGACCGGGAGAGACGGTGGCGAAGGGGCCGCGTTGCATTCCCGGAGCGGCCGAGAAACGCAACGCACAACCCCCTAAAACTGGACTCCGGTCACCGGCCGGGGGGCGGTTGGGCGGCGCCGCACTCGTGCGACTTTCTAACTCAAAACGGGCTGTTTGGGGGCTGGAGCGAGAGCACAGCGGGGAGGGCGTTGGCCTGGCGCGGGGCCGACCCGGGTTCGATTCCCAGGGTCCCATAGGGTCCCCCGAGCACCGCCAGGGGTAACTCCTGAGCGCAGAGCCAGGAGCAACCCCTGTGCATCGCCGGGTGGGACCCGAAAAGCAAAAAAAAAAAAAAAAACCCCCCAAAAAAACGGTCTGTTTTCCCACCACGCTGCTGGTAGGACCCCGCGGGGAAGGGGTTGAGCCCAGGGGAGCTGTCATCCCCGCGGCGGTGCTCAGGGATGACTCCTGGCCCTGCGCGCAGGGCTAGGGCGGGTAGGGGGAACTGATGGGGTTGCCGGAGATTGACCCGGGTAGTTGTGTGCGAGGCAGACGTCCTTCCTCCCCGCTGCCCTATCGTTCCAACCCCACATCTCCCCCGTTGTTTTTTTTTTTTTCCTTTTTTGCTTTTTGGGTCACACCTGGCGATGCCCAGGGGTCACTCCTGGCTCTGCACTCAGGACTCACTCCTGGCGGTGCTCAGGGGACCATATGGATGCTGGGACTCGAACCTGGGTTGGCAACGTGAAAGGCAAACGCCCTCCCCGCTGTGCTCTCTCCAGCCCTTTTATTTATTTATTTTTTTTACGAAGTTTCCCAGCCGCTGAAACGAGGCAGGAGCCCAGGGAGAGGGTGGGACCCCCGTGGGAAACAACCTGGGAGGTGAGCTGCTTGGACTGGCCCATTTCTCTTTCCTGGCCACCTACTTTTACTGGCCAGGGTCGGGCCTGCCCTTTGGCAGACATCGCTGGACATCTGCCAAGGGGTGATGGTGAGCAGGAGGAGTTGGGAGGGCTTCTTGGAGGAGGAGGCAGTGGAAGGTGAACAGCAAACAGGACAGAGGCGGTGAGGGAGGACGGGAGAGAGGAATCGTTTGGGGGCCACAACTGGCCGCGCTCAGGGGACCAGGTGCCGCGGGGGATCAAACCCGAGCTTCCGACATGACACGTGGAGCCCTTGGAGCTTTCTCCCCGATGTCCTGACCCCAATAAACTCACCTCCCAGGGGCTGGAGCGATGGCACAGCGGGGAGGGCGTTTGCCTTGCAACGAGGCCGACCCGGGTTCGATTCCCAGCATCCCATATGGTCCCCCAAGCACCGCCAGGAGTAATTCCTGAGTGCAGAGCCAGGAGGAACCCCTGAGCATCGCCGGGTGTGACCCAAAAAGTAATAAATAAATGAATAAATAAGTAAACTCACCTCCCAAAGATGAACCCCACCAGGGGCCAGGGAGATGGGACAGCAGGTGAGTCGCTTGCCTTGCACTGCACCTGACCTGGGCTCCATCCCAGGCATCATCCCACAGGGACCCCCAGTTCTGCCCGCAGAGACCCCTGAACTCAGAGCCAGGAGTCGGCCCCCACGCCCCCCCCCCAAAGCCAAATGCCAAACGCAAATGCCCCGTCGGGGGTGAAGCCCCCACCCAGCTGTGACCGAGCCACACGTTCGTTCCAGTGCATCAGGGGGTGGCAGGGAGGGGACGCGAGCTGGGTTGGGTGGGATGTCCTGGGGGCGGATGTCCAGCCCCCCACCCTGGGCCTCACCGCCCCCCGTTTTCTTCCCGGCCAGGGAGAGCGCCGAGCTCCGTGCACAGCTGCGCTCCGCCGAGGCCGCCGTGCGCCAGAGGGACGCACTCATCCAGCAGCTGCAGACGCGGGCCCAGCTGCTGCAGGACCTCTGCCGCCACCGGCCGGCGCTGGCCGGGCTGCTGGCCGCGCTGGCCGACGTGGAGCGACTGGGGCCCCCGCCGGCCGGGCCTCTGGGCCCCCCACCCCCTGGCGGGCCCAGCCCGCCGGCCACCAACAGCACCGGGGAGGACGAGGAGGACGACGAGCTGGACAGCTTGCCGGCCGCGGTGCTGGGGACCACGGTGTGAACCCCCCGAGCTCCAGGGCCAGGAGGACCCCGAGAAGGCTTTTCTTTCTGCCTGCGGGCGCTTCCGAGTCGGGGGTGCCCGTTGCCCGGTGCCCGATGGGTGCTGAAGGCAGAACCCCGTGGGGACGCCAGGCTCTGTTTCCAAAAACCGGCTTCCCGGGCATGGTGGCGGACTCTGCGAAGATGTTTAGCCCAGATAGTTGGGTGGTGGAGGAAGGGACTCCCAAAGCAGTGCTCAGGAAGAGCAAAGGGCGGCTCCAGTGGGGCCTGGTCGGTCAGTGTTCAGAACCAGCAAAGCTGGAGCCACTAGGCCACCCCCGGTGGAGCGTTGGGGTACTGTGTGGGGCTGGGGTGCACAGCTTGGGACCTGTAGATGCAGGTCTGGCACCCCTAGCTCCTGGATATAATTTTGGGGGGTGTGTTTGGACTACCTGGCGATGCTCAGGGCTTACTAGAGCCTCTGTGCTCGGGTCCTTGCCCCGGGGACCCAATAGGAAGGCTGGGGGTTGAACCCAGGTTGGCCACGAGCAAGGCCAGCACCTTCCCAGCTCTGCAACGGCTCCAGGCCCTGGGCAGACAATTCTTCACCTGGGGCCACGCCTGGCTGTGCTCAGGGCTGACTCCGGACTGTGCTCAGGGATCACGTGCCTGGTGGGGCTCCAGGGACCCTAGCGGGTACCAGGAACGAAGACCCCAGCACCCTCCCCGCCGGACACTCCCTGACCCCATCGAAAGTGATTTTTCACCCTAACTCAGGCTGCCCTTGACCCTGTTTCTGAGTGTCCAGCCTCAGTGCCTTGGAGCTGGCCAGTCCCTCTGCCTGGACACTGCCCCGCCCCCAGCTCCTGTGACCCATGTCACATGACTAGCTCCTTATCTGTGCTCAGTCAGCACCTCCCAGGGGCGGGACAGAGGACTGGGGCTCACCAGTGTGGCCCCACTCCAGGAGGCCTACCTGATCGGCAGCGAATCCTCTGCCCACCAGCTCCCCGTCCTTCCTTCTAGAACTTTCTGGCCCGGAATCGAACCCGGTTCGACTGCGTGCAAGACAGACGCCCTACCCGCTGTGCTATTGCTCCAACCTCCAGCCTAACCCTTTTAAAAAGATGCCTCAGAGGGGCTGGAGCCATAGCACAGCGGGGAGGGCGTTTGCCTTGCACGTGGCCGACCCGGGTTCGATTCCCAGCATCCCATAGGGTCCCCCGAGTACCGCCAGGAGTAATTCCTGAATGCATGAGCCAGGAGTAACCCCTGAGCATTGCTGGGTGTGACCCAAAAAGGGAAAAAAAAAAGTCTCAGAGGCTCTGTTTTTGAATTCCTCCCCACCCCCACGCTGCTTCTTTGGGGGTGCTCTGCTCCTTATCACATCGGGATCCCCCATGCCATCCTCTCTGCCCCTTGCCTGCGGGCCCAGCCCAGCCTAGTACCAGGGAGCAGTTTCCTGGGCCCCAACTCAGGGCAGGAAGTGCCTGGGGCTGGGCTCATCCCGGGACCCCCAGTCGGCTCACAATGGCCCCTTTTCTTCTCCGGATGGGATGAAACAAGCCAGGAAGGAGGCTGGAGCCTGTCTGCTCCGGAATAAACTGGATTCCCAGCCCTGGCCCTGTCTCTCTGCTAACTTGGGGGTTGGGGGCAGGCGTGCCCCAGGTGGTTCTCTCCCAGCCCAGGGGCGGGGGGTGAGGGGGTTCGCCGCGGAGCCAAGCCGGTCGTGGTCTTCCATCTGGCAGGGGCTACCCAGGGACAGGACGCCCAGGGTCCCTCGTTATTGGATTCTCAGCCAATGGGGTGAGGGGGATGTCGAGCTGCTGAGGGGGCAGGAAGGGGACACCCTGCAGGGCTGGCTGAGCCCCGGCACCCACACAGGGTCCCCCAAGCCCCGCCAGGAGGGAGCCGAGTGCAGAGCCGGGCGGAGCCCCTGGACAAGCTCCGAGAAGGCAGACACAAGACCCCTCGCCTTCCTGAACCCACTGGGGAGCGGGACAAGGTGCTGGGCAGTGTCTGGGGGGGTCGACTCCTGCGGTGCCAGGGGCACCCGGGCCCCACCGAGCCTCCTGCCTGCCCCCGGGCAGGACAGCGGCTGCTGTGCCCCGAGCTGGCTTCAGGCCCTGTGCAGGGCCAGCGTGGGACCCAGCAGGATCCCGGCTCGGAGGCGGTGCTGGCACCTGGAACCAGCCCGGCCCGCCCTGGGCTCACTGCCTGCAGCACGGGGCCAGGAGGCCCGGCGGGACAGGGCTCCGTCCCCGCCACCGAGGCTGACCCTGCCTGGCTGGGCAGGGCTGGGCCGGGCGGTTGGGAGCCGAGTGGCAGGAGCACGTGACGCCAGGGCCTGGCCCTCTGGGGCCGGCCCAGTCCCTCCCAGTCCCCAGAGCTGCCGTCTCCTTAGCGACAGTCTCGGGGCTGGACGCAGCGGGCACAGTCAAGAGCCTCTGCGCACACACGGGCCGGCCGAGCTGGGCAGCTGCCTGCCGCGGGCATGGACACGGCGGAGGCCACGGTGGAGAAGCTGCGGGCGCAGTGCCTGGCCCGGGGCGCTGTGGGCATCCACGGCCTGGCCAGGTGAGAGGCCCCCGACGCCTCACCCGCCCCTGCAGCCCCCGAGCGCGCCCCCAACCCCGCATCGCTCCCCCCCACCCCTGCAGGTTTTTCCGCCGCCTGGACCAGGACGGAAGCCGCGCCCTGGACGCGGGGGAGCTGCGGCGGGGCCTGGCCGAGCTGGGGCTGAAGCTGGACGCGGCCGAGGCGGAGGCCGTGTGTGGGCGCTGGGACCGTGACGGCAGCGGGACCCTGGACCTGGACGAGTTCCTGCGGGCGCTCCGGGTGAGCGGGGCGGGGGGCTGGCTGGGGACCTGGGGACCGGGGGCGCCGGGTGTGCCCGGGCCGTAACCGCCCTCCCTCCCTCCCCCAGCCCCCCATGTCCCAGGCCCGGGAGGCTGCTGTCAGGGCCGCCTTCGCCAAGCTGGACCGCAGCGGAGACGGGGTGGTGACCCTGGACGACCTCCGGGGCGTGTACAGCGGCCGCGCCCACCCCAAGGTGCGCAGCGGGGAGTGGACAGAGGACGACGCACTCCGCCGCTTCCTGGACAACTTCGACAGCTCCGAGAAGGACGGGCAGGTGGGCACCCCCCATCCCTCCCCTCCCCTCCCCTCCGTGCCCGTTCGAGCCGCCGCCCTTCCGTCCGTCCCAGGTCACGCTGGCCGAGTTCCAAGACTACTACAGCGGCGTCAGTGCCTCCATGGACACGGACGAGCAGTTTGTGGCCATGATGACCAGCGCCTGGCGGCTGTGAGCGCCCCCCGCCCCCGTCCTCCTGCCGGGCACCCCCACCCCCAGCACCTCTCACCGGCCCGCCCCGCGGAGGCTGCGCGACCGGCCAGGCCCGGCCCTGCTGGGCCACGAGGAGGAAGCGGGGAGCCAGGCATCGGCGCCCCCCACCCCCGCCCCGTCTTGCTCAGCACAGTCTGGTCTCGCCCCTACCCCCGATCCGCAAACAGGCGCTGCCCGGTGGCAGCCGGTTCGCAGTTCCGGTCACCCGGGCGAGCCTGGCGGCGTGTCAAAGGCGCGGACGGAAGGTGGCCGGCCGAGGCTTTAGTTAAAAGTTTTAATGTAGATCCCAAATACATTTCATATGACAATCTTACATAAGTGTCCCCAGACTCATGGGCCTTCTCGCTGGTCTGACGGTCGGTCGGTCACTAGCTGGCTAAGGCGGAAAGCAGGTCGTGAGGCCGGGCTGGGCGGTGGCGCGCTGTGTCCCCGCAGGACTGGCGCGTCCCCCCGCCCTCTCCCTCCTCTGCTCCCACGTCGCGGGGGCGTGCTCCAGCGGGTGGCCAGAGGGGGTGGGCACGGCGCCCACGCCCGGGAGTCCTGCGAGCTGGGGGCACAGTTTGTTTTCTGGGGCCAGCCGGCCGCCTGCCCCTGGAGTCCACGGCCCTCGTCGCAGAGGCCCGTGGGCCCGGCAGGGCTGGCCAGGGCGGGAGCAGGCGGGGCCTGGGAATGCCACGGGCAGGAGCCGGGGCCCCCGCCTGGAGCCCCGCAGGCGGCGGCGGGCGGCCGGCCCACCCCGAGTCTGAACCCAAGAGACCAGACACAAAGCGTCGGGAAGAAAAGGATCTAAAAATAGAGACCCCCAAACCGGCGCGGGGAGGCGGGAGGGCGGGAGGTCCGGCCGCGAGTGTCCGTGCGCACAGCCAGGCGCTCATCAATATGATGAGGACGCGAGCCCCGAGCACGCCGGGCAGCCCCCAGTCCGTTCCGGCCCCGTGGGACGGGCCTGTGCTTGCTCCCCGAGTCCGCGGGAGGCGGGGCAGGCGGACACACAGACGGACGGACGGACGGGTGGACAGACGGAGCTGCAGCTCGTCGCGGCCCCGGCGCTAGGTGCCCCCGGCCGTCTGCCCGGCCCCTTCGTCGCCGGCGCCTGCGGGGGTGAGAGGCGGGTCAGTGGGAGCCCGGCCGCTGCCCGACCCCCCGCCCCCCCCACGCCCCCGGCCGCACTCACCGCCCCCCGAGGCGCCCGAGGGGGCCAGCACGTCGTCCTCGTCGCTGTCGTCCTCCTCGCGGGCCGGGGCGGCCCCGGGCTCGGGCGCCTTGGCCTCCTGCTCCTGCTCGGCCCGGCTGCGCAGCGCCAGGATGCGGTGGTGCAGGGCCGCGTACAGCTGGCCCGTGTCCTTGGAGCTGGCCTGCGGGGAGCGGGGGGAGGGCACGGGTCAGGGGCCGCCGACGGGGGGTGGGCCGGCGCCCACCCGCAGCCCCCGCGGCCGGCTCACCGAGATGAGGAAGACCTTGACGCCCTGGTCCTCGGCGTCCATGGCCGTGATGCGGATGCCCTTCTCGCTGGCCTTGTCCATCTGCATCTGCGCCCACAGCTTGGTGTTGAGGATGAGCCGCAGGCTGCCCTGGGTCCGCATCACTGCGCGACAAGCACCCCATTCTCACGGGCCCGGACCGCAGGGCGGGGGAGGCCCGGGGGCGGGGGCTCTTGGGCGGACGGACAGACGCTCGACTCCGGGGGTTCTGGCCACGTCAGGGGAACGCTCGCACCCGCTCCCAGGGGGCTCCCCCACGCTGCGCCCGAGGCCCGGCGGGTCGGTGCCAGCAGGGCAGTGCCAAGGCTGCGTGCTGCGGCCTCTGTGCCGCGGGCACCCCCTGACCTCGGGGCCTTCGGTCGACGCCCGCCCCCGAGCCGGGCCCCCAGTGCTCCGGGGGCTCTCCCGGGGCTCACCGAGCCGGGAGCGCAGGCTGCCGTCGTCGGCCGAGGCCATGTCGTTGAGCCGCAGCTGCCCCCGGCCTCGCTCCACCCACGACTGCGAGGCCTTGTCGAAGACGAACAGTTTACACTGGATCTGAGGACACGGGCGCGGGGTGAGCGGGGCCCGGCGGCGCCCCAAGGGCTGAAGCCCCGTTCTCCGAGGGCTCTGAAAGCCAGACCCGCGCCTCTCCCGCTTCCCCCAGACCCTTGGCCTTTCCCCGGCGCAGGGAGGGCGCTGCCCCGACCCCCAGCTCAGCACCCCCGAAGGAGCAGCAGCTCCGAGCGGGAGGGCCGGCCGCGTGGGACCCCCACACGTGGGGGCCGGGGAAGGGCTGTCCCCAGCAGCGTCTGAAGCCGGCGGCAGGGGCCCCTGCTGAGGGGGGCCGAGGACCACCCGCCCCTGCTCCGGGGGGGCGAGGTCCAGGGCGCGGGCCGCCCCACCCGCGCCTCCCCGTCCCGGGGCCCGGCGGCCCCACCTGCAGCACGTTGCTCTCGGCCTCTTCCCCGGTGATGACCTCCACCTTCCCCAGCAAGCACTTCCGGGCCGTGGCCCTGGTGTAGGCGGCCGCAGACTCTGCCAGGGACTCGGAGACGCTGTCAGCTGGACGACACCGGCCACTCGCTGGGGGCCCAGCGGGGGGCGGGCCGTGGGCCCCGCAGGACTCCCCCAGGGGCTGGCCTGGGCCTCCCCCGGGTGAGCTGGGATGGAGCCGGCAGCCCAGCGAGCGCCCGAGCCCTGGGCTTGCCCCCCACCCCCCCGCAGCGGGCAGGAACCCCGGGAACGCACCTTTCTCGGGGGTGGCCTCCTGGGACGAGGACTCGGACCCCGACTCGACAGCGGCGTTTTCCCTGCCGGCGTCGGAGCCAGTCTCGTTTAGCTTGGGGGGGCTCTGTGGGAGAGGGGCGAGCAGGGCGTGGCGTGAGGGTGCAGGAACCCCGGGGGGTGGGGGGGTGGGCAGGTCCTCCCCCCGTCCACTCACCAGCACACGCTCGCTCATGTTCTGGCCGAACACAAATTTGTTGCTGGAGGCGTCGGCGCTGTTGGTGGAGTTCTCAGCGCTGGGCGAGGACGTGGGCCGTGAGAGCCGGGCGGGAGGCCGGGACCCTCCGGGAGCCCACAGCAAGAAGCCCCCTCAGGCGCTCCCCCAGGACCCCTCGGATGGAGCCACGGCCCCAGGCCTCTCAGGAGGGCCCCAAAACACACAGACACACAGACACACACACAGACACACACACACCCAGTCCCGCCTGGCCGCCACGCCCACCTGCAGCTGATGTACTGGAGAAAGTAGTTGGTGGCTGCGGGGGTGTCGGGGCCCGGCTGCCCTTCGGCCCCCATGTCGGCTGCCTCTGCATCCTCGCTGATGAGCTGCGGGCGGGGAGACACGTGTCATCTGCCCTGGGGGGAGGCGGGCTCGGCCCATCGGGAGACTCCAAGGAACCCGGCCCCCGACGGCCGCCAGCGGGACCCTCACCCACAGGAGGCCGGTCCCCGTCCCTGGGAGCACCAAGCAGTGCCGAGGTGCTGCCCGGACCCCCACTTCCTGCCAGCCACGCCCCAGCCTGCAGGCGCAGGGGGCAGCCCCGATGTGGGCACCCCGGCCGTGGGTCGGCGCGCCCCGCCCCCTCCCGCCGCTGGACGGGGGCCCCTAAAGCTCACACCTTGACTCTGTCCCGCAGGTTCTGCCCGAACACGAAGGCCTGCGAGGCGCCCGACTCCTTCCGCTCCCCGTTCTCCTCCTCCCAAGCACCGCCAGGCTCCTGGCTCTGGGACTCTCGCTCCTGCGCGGGAGGACGCCAGGCTGGGAGGGGCGGCCAGTGGGGGCCCGCAGGTGGCCAGGCGCACACGCTGGAACCCCCCCAGCACCGCCCCAGGGCAGAAGCCGCGGGCTCAGCCGCTCGGCTCACAAACCCACCTCTAGGGCGCCGGCCTCGGCCTCCGAGGGGCTTCTGTGCGCGGAGGCGTCGGGCGAGGCAGCGGCGGCCCCCAAGCAGTCGGGGGCAGGGACCCCATTGGTGCTGCTGCTTGGAACTGCAGGGCAGAGAGACGGCGGGTCATGGCACGGGTCACGGGGCAGGCCAGGCAGCTTCTCGTGGGGGCGTCGGAGCCTCCCCCAAGCCAGGCCTTTTTTTGTTTTTTTTTTGGGTGGGCTTTAGGGCCCCACATCCACCGGTGCTCAGGGGTTACTCCTGGCTCAATGCTCAAAAACTCGGAGACTCTATGGGACACTGGAGATCGAACCCGGGCCAGGTGCGTGCCAGCCCTGGGTGTTCCCCACTGTCCCATCGCTCTGGTCCTGGGTCACACTTTCTCAGACCGAGAAGAGTCCCTAACGCTCACACTGGAAGCTTCCAGAAGCACCACCGACCACTGCAGCCCCCTCAAGCAGATTGCCCAGGGAGCCGGAAGCGGGGAAGGACGCGTGGGGGCCGGGCGCTGGGTCTGAGAAACAGGCTGTCCTAATAACATCTCGATTTGGGGCGATCTCCCCCCCCTCGGTAATCGCGGCGGTTGGACAACTAGCCCGGCTTCGAGCCTGGACTCCGCTATTTTGGCCGGCAGACCAAAGTTGTTTCCGACGCAATCAAAAACTAATTCGGGGGGGAAAACCCCACCCGGAGACTTGATGAGCTGGGAGGGGGCGTTCCCCCTGCATCTTTACCCGGCCGTGTCTGTCCGCCTCGGGGGCTGCGGGGATTAAAGGGCCACGCACCACATGGCTGGAACCACTTGGCACAGAGACCAAAGACTTTTCCGTGTAATGAAATCCGGCGGGAAGAACTCGCTCATTTGCCCTCGCGAGGGAGCGCCGCGCACCGCTTCCGACCGAGGGGGCTGGATGCGGGGGCAAGACCGAGAGGCGGGCGAGGAGAGCCGGGAGAAGGGACGAGAATGAGGGCTGGGCCCACAGGGCCCGTCTCCTGGCACGGGGGATCAAAGGGCCCCGCCCCCCGGGGCCCAGGGGCGGGGGGAGGGGAGGGGGCTGTCGGGAAGCCCGTGGCAGACCACGCACAGCACAGGTCGGCACCCACCGATCAGGGCGAGCGTCTTTGGCTGCGGGGCTTGGAGCACGGCAGGGCGGAGCACGCTCCTCTGTGGTTCCTTGGGCTTCTGGCTTGGCACACCTGCGCGAGAGGAGGGAGGCGCCTTGCGGGGGGTCTCGAGGCAGCCAGGCCCTGGGTCCCCCCGGGCAGGGGGGGCTCGGCTGTCACGTTTCTTGGCTTTCGGCTTCTGGGCCACACCCGGCGCCGCTCAGGGCTCTCTCGGCAGGCCACCGGCACGGCCAGCGCCACCCCTGTCTCCAGCCCGAAGTTTCGTTTTACGATTTTGGGGGTGGGGCCTGAAGGGTGACACCTGGTCCTGCCCACGGAGTCTCTCTGGCCCCTGGGAAGCAATTTGGGGAACACAAAGCACAACAAAACGAAACGAAACAAAAACCCAGCCCAGATGTTCCCTAAAACGAAGCGAAAACCCAGCCCAGATGTTGCCTCTGCGCCAGACAGGCCACAGCTGGGGCGTCTCTCGGGGCTAAGGCCACTCCGCCTGGCTACCGGTCACACCTGTCACTCACGGGGAGTGGAGGGGGCCCGAGCAGAGAAAAGGGCCCCGGGGCCCCACTCGTGCTTTTCCAACCAACTCCACCTCCCCCCGCCCCCGGCAAACGGGAACCGTTGGCCGTGTGGGGCGGGAAGGCTCCGGCGAGGAGGGTGGTGGACGCCCCCCACCCCACCTGGGGCCGGGCTGACCTTTCGGCCCCCCCTTCCCACCTACCTGCGCTGGGTGCCTGGCCGTGGATCAGGGTGGGCGGCTTCAGCCGGAACCCGCCGCTCTTTTCCTCTGCAAGCAGAAGGGTGAGATGGCGGGGGTGGGGGTGGGGGCCCTGCAGGGGCAGCTGGCCTGGCTCCAGGGCGTGCCAGCAGGGAGCCTCGGCCCTGCCTGTGAGGGGGAGGTGCTCTCTGCGAGGAAGGACGTGGGGCTGGTGTCCCGCCACGGGAGTGGGGGGCTTTGAGGGGCCCCACTGCCCCAAGGCCTGGACCCCTGCCCCGGGCCTGATCAGTGGCCCAGACAGACCCCCCAGGGGGACATCAAGGAAACAAGTCCTCGGACAGCAGCCAAAGGAAACAAACGTTCCGGCATGGGCCGTGAGTCCAGGGGAGGGCCGGGGGCCCACCGACTCGGCGGCGGCTGCTCTCTGCCCATGGGGTCAGTCCAGGGGAGGAAGAGGGGACACAGACCCACCCCCAGGACCAGCCGGGGCCAGCACCACCCCGGGGGGTCTGAGAGGCCACTCAGTATGCGGAGCCTGGACGTGCCCCAGGGGACAGGGCCAGGGGACCCAGGCCGGCCACCCTCACGGCACACCAGAGCGGGGAGGGAGGCGGGGCCCTGCGTGAGCGGCCCAAGGGGGTCCGGTAGCGGCCAGGAGGGAGAGGCTGGGTGTCAGACATAAGACAGCAGGTGTGTGAGGCGGACAGACAGGCAGACAGACAGTAGGTGCGTGGGTGAAGCGGCTGCAGTGAGGTCTCCAAGTTTCACGATTGTTTTGGGGTCACACCCGGTGCTCAGGGCTGACTCCTGGTGGGCTCGGGGCCCCTATGGCATCTCAGGGGCGGCACGCGGTTCAGCCGCGTGTGACAAGTCTTCCTTGCTCTGGCCTTGGCCCCCCTCGTGATAGGGGCCACCCCCAGCCATGGAGAGTGGCCCCGGAGCACGAGGGACCAAACTCATCAGGGCCCCAGCGAGCAAGCCGGGGGCCTCCGGGCTGCCCTTTCCGCTGATACCCGCTGTCTCCTGGAGCTCCCCTGTGTGTGTGTGTGTGTCGGGGGGCGTGCAGGGGGGCTCAGGGCCAGGCGAGGCCTCCCGCCTGGAGGGCGGGAGTGATAGCACAGCAGAGCGGGCGCTGGTCTTGCACGGCTGACCCAGGTGACCCAGGCTCTATCCCTGACCGCCAACAGGGTCCCGGGAGCCCCGCCCGGAGTGCTGCTTGAGCACAGAGCCAGGAGCCAGCAGCCCTGAGCATCACCGGTGTCGCCCCCAGGTGAAACAAAACAGAATGGCAGGCCAGAGAAGCTCCCCCAGCCGGGGCGGAGGCACGGCCAGGCAGAGCAGCCCCTCAGCCGGCAGAGTCAGGCAACTTCAACGGCTTGAACCCGGCCTCGGGACCCCCCTCCCCGCCCCCACCAATCGCCCCCTGGGGCTGCTGCCTGAGCGGAGACGTTTGAAGTCGGCTGTGAACTTAATAAAAGGCAGGTCGGGTTTCAGAACTGGGCCGTTAAACTGAATCATTAAACCTTTTATGAGGCATTTCAGCCCCCTGGGAAAGACTTTCAGGAAACCTCGAGCAGGCAGGAGGTGGGCGAGGAGGAGGGCAGGGCAGGAGGGGTGCAGGCTGGACCCCCACTCACCCAAGCCCGGGGCCAGCAGGAGCTGGGGAAGGGCGGGGGGGGGGCTCCCTCTCGAGGTCACACCCGAAGGTGCTCGCGGTTCGGCCCAAATAGGGCTGGGCCAGGCACAAGGCAAAGCGCCCCGACCTGGAACCCATCTCCGGCCAGCGCCGATACTTCGCTGATTGGTCTTAAAAACCAAAACCAAACCCCAAACCCACGGATGTGTCAGCGGAACTGACCAAATGAGGAACACATGGTGTGCCGGAGCGCCAGGGAGCGAGCCCGGCCGGGTGCGGGGACCCTGAGCCGCATCCCGGGGTTCCCTGGGCGCTGGTGGCACGGGAAGGGGGGCTCCGGCCTCTCCCGGCGGCACACGGCCCCCGCCCCGGGCCCCCAGCTCACCTGGCTCCGAGTCCGACTGGGTCGCAGACGCCTCGCACAAGGTGGAGGGAAGGAAAACGTTGGTTTTGGAGACTGCCGACGGGAGCGGGGGAGGGGCGGGAGGAGACCCGGTGAGCGGGATGGGGGCCCAAGGGGGGTCCCCAGCTCCCACCGAGGGCTCTGCCCCGGGACCAGGCCTGCACGTGCTCCCCACCACCAGCCGGGGCTCACTGCTCAGCGGCCCCCTGACCTATCAGGGCCTCACCCCTCGGGAGGGTTCGCCTCCTGGGAAGCGGGCCGGGCTGCCCTGTGCCGGTGGGCTGGGGGCTGGCGAACTGGGGGGGAGGGGCGCGGCCAAGTAAGGGGGACCTGGGTGTGGGGCGCCCCCTAGCGGCAGGGCAGAGGCTCTGCACCAAGGCAGCCAGCGGCTCCCAGGGGCCCCCACCCCCGCCCAAAGGGTGCTCGGGCAGTTGACAGGACCCGAGAAGGAAACCAAGTGGCATCCAGGAGGCAGGGGCACAGCTGGGTGGGGGGGCACGTCCGGCGGCCCCCACACCGTGCTGCTGGGCCTCAGTGCGAACCACCTGATCCCTGTGAACTGCTGGGAGGGACCACCCCCCAAAAAAACAAGGGCGGCCTGGACTACTGCGTGGACCCTCAAGAGCAGGTGCCAAGGCCCAGGTGGGGTGGGGCACAGGGCCAACGTGGCTTGGGGGTGGACACGTCAGCCTGGGCGTACCTGACTGGGACGGGGGGAACTGGGTCAGCGAGGACGCCCGCTCGCGCTTCACGGGGGGACAGTAGCCTCCATCTTCGCGGTCGGAGTCTGCGGGGAGGAGGAGGGAAGAGGACAGTCAGGCCGCGCCCGCCCGCGTCCAGCAGCCGAGCTGGGCAGAGCCGGGCCAGGGCGCAGAGGGGTCCTCACCTTCGCCGCCTTCTGGGCTGGAGCCGCCCGCGGACCTCTGAAACAAGAGCACAGCGGGCTGGTGAGCCGGGGCGGCCCCCGGGAGGCTGGAACACGGGGTCCCCGCCACCCCCACGCGAGGTGGTCTCCGCTGCGGTTCTGGCTGCCCACCTCCCCAGGGTCAACGGGGTTCAGGCGCTGGCCTTGCACACAGCCCCCCTTAGCGAATATGCCCCCCGAGTCCGCCAGGGGTGATCCCTGAGCACAGAGCCAGGAGTCGGCCCTGAGCACCGCCGGGTGTGGCCCCCAAACCCAAACCCAAACCCAACTTTGGAGCCAGAGAGAATGGACAGTGCAGGGGCGGAGGCCCTGATCAGAATCCCTAGCATCCGCCCAGGAATTTGGCCAGTGACACCCGGCCCGGGCCACACACGGCTCAGCCGCTGGCCTGCGCCCTTCCCGGGACCTGGGGGCGCTCAGCTCGGCCCGGTCCAAGGCGGGCAAGCGCTTCTGACAGTGGAGCCGCGGCCCCCGCAGCACACGCACGGGCGCCCCACACACTCGCAGGCCGGAGACCGGCAGCTGCTCAGCGGAGGAGCCCCCGGAGGCTGCAGCTGGGCCAGGTGAGGACCCCCTTCGGCGGGGCGCCGGGGCGAGGCCCGGGGGAGCCCTCCGCCTGTCGAGTGCAGGGGGACAGCCGGGAGAGGCCCACGGTCGCTCTCGCCCCGCGTGGAACTCGGGTGACCGTCTGGTTCTACGATCCTTGTCTGCCCCCAACCCCAAAGACCCAACAGGGAGGAAGGGGCCCTGACCGGACCGACCCCTGCGCCCAGGTCCTTGGGGGTCACTGTGAAGAGCCCCTCCCCCCATGTGTGAACCGCAGGCCAATTTGGAAAATGAGGGGTGGGGGGGGGTTGCCTGGCAGCAGGGGGCCACCAGGGAGGAGGGGGCCTGGGGGATCAGTCGGCCAGCCTCCCTTCCCTCCCCTCCCCCCAGCACCCACATCCTTGGGCTGTGGGGGGCAGACACGGTGCCCCCCAGCCAAAGCCCGGCTGCCCCAGGGCCCTTCCAGAGGGAAGGAGACGGGGCGGGGTAGCAGGAGGAGGAGGTGGGGGGGCCGTGTCCCCCTTCTCCCCCCAAGGCTTGGTCAAGAGGGCCCCACGCACCCACCTTCCCGCCCCTCCGCCCCATGCGGGCTCCAGAAGCTTCTCTACTCCGCCCACAGCGTTCCGGCTCCCGGGACCCACCCCTGCTTCCGCCCGAGCCTCTGCCCTGGGCCCCCGGGACGCAGGAAGGAACTGCCGGCCACAGAGAAGCAGCCTGGCAGGCACCGCCGCTGCCCGTGGTGGACCCCCAGCCCCTCCGGCGAGCGGGACCCCAACCCCCTCCACGCCCACGACTCCGGGCCCCCTGCAGCCCGCCGGCAGGAAGCAAGGCCTCCTGGAGACCGGGGTGGGTGGTATGGCCAGGCGCTGCTCCCCAGAAGGGACCTGGCCAGGGCCGAGGCCTCTGGGGGTCGACCGCGCTAGGCGCCTCCGGCTTCCATCCCAAGCCCTGCCGTGGGCGCGCCTCCCAAGCCAGCCCACCCCACCCCAGTGTACCAAGGCCCCAACCCCCCAGCTTCCTCTGGGCCATTGAGCTACGGGAGACAACCCCCCCCCCATGCAGGCTCCACGCCCCGGGGGGGGGGGGGGCACAGCCTGGGAACAGCACCACACCGAGGGGAAGAGGCCCCCAGCCGAGAGAACTTTCCAGAAGCTGCCGGAAGCTCCTGTGGGGGTCTGAAACAGCAGATTCAGACACAGGCAGGCAGGCGGGCAACAGGCACCAGGGAGCACTCAGGAGGCAGCAGCGTGAGACTCCACGGCTCTTCTGTCCAGGGCACTCCTGCGGCCCCTCCCCCGGCCATGCCGGGACATCTGGGGGACCCGTGTGTGTGTGTGTCTGTGTGGCAGGGGCCGATGAGTCCCATCCTTCCCGCCCCCCGATCCCCCCCAGGACACCGGGATCAAGGCAGGCCACCGTGACTTCAACTTGCCCACAAGCCCCCCCAAAGCATGGGGGGAGTGAGAAGGGCAGCGGGGGGAGGGGGTTTGCTGGCTTCTTGACAGGGGCTCCCCACAACTGAACCGACCACCCTGCCAGCCCTCCAGCCCCCATCTCCAGGCGCACCCCGGGCGAGGCGCCCGGTGGCGCTAAGGGGCAACCCCCCCAGAACCCCGGAGCGCTCGGGGAGTGGCCCGGCTCCCGCGAAGACCAGGAGGCCAGCACCTGCCCGCCTCCGCCTTCCGTCCGTCCGCGAGCCAGGGGAGGTCTCGGCGGACGCAGCCCCTGGCCGCGCAGGGAGCAAAGGCCAAGCGGCCCCTGGTCACCCAAGCTCTAATTGGACGCGTGCGGCGCCCGGCCAGGAGCAGCGGGGGCGCAGGCAGCGCGCCAAGGCCAGGTCGCGTCAGGGGGCGGCAGACGGACGCGGGGAAGCGGGCCAGCCAGCTGCGGGCCGTTCAGGCCTTTCCCGGCGGGTCCGATAAACCTCTTCCTGGCTCGGCAGCTGGGGGGAGGGGGCGAGCGCCGAGGGCCCCCCCGCACCCAACAACCGACCAAGGTCAGATGTGCTTGTCTTCAGACCGAGGGGGGGGCACTGCGACTCAGTGGCCCGAGGAGGCTGGAAGCTGATGAGGGTCTCCGGGGGCTTATCAGGTGCCCCCCCCACCCAGAGCGAGAACGGGGTGTGAAGGATGAGGCTGCGGGGAACGCAGGATGGGACGGAGCCGCTAGCCGGAGCACTAGCCGTGGGAGCCAGCAGACAGGGCCCCAGGGGTGGTGATGCGAACCCCTCCCCTTCCCCTCCCCCGCCAAGGACACCTGCCACCACAGGGGCCGGCTGCGGAGACCCCCGGCTCTGCCTTGGGCTGGGGTCAGGGCTAGCTCCTGCCCAGGCAGGGGCGGGGGAGGCACAAGAGGGCTTGGGGGGTCCCGACTCCGTCTCTGTGACTGGACCCCCCTGCGGCTCCTGGGGTTCAATCCTCACCCCGGCCCACCAAAGTGACACCCCGAGCACGAGTGCTGCTAGGTGTGACCCCAAGCAGATCAGTACCCCCAAACAACAACAGGAGGCCCACCTGGCTTGGCCCCTGAGCGCCGTCAGGAGGGTCCCTGGAGCACCGGGGGAGGTGGCTCCTGGCCTCCCAAGACCCCGCCAGATTTCGAGCAAACAAGCTGCCGGCAGATGCGCCTGGGGCGGGCGGGCACGAGGGCCCTTCCCTGGGCTCCTCACGGCTGAAGCCACGGACCCCGCCGGCCTGCAGAGACGCCTCCGGAACCCGGTCAAGCCCACCCCACCGCCCCGACCTCCGGCCACCACGCCCGCCTCCTCCTAGGTTTAGCTGCGGGCACAGGTCGGTCTGGGTGGCGCCTCTGGGCTGCACCCTTTCGTGGGTCCCACCCTGCCCCCCCCACCGCGCCAGCTGAGATGGGGTCTCCGCCCTCCAGAGGGCTGGTTCTCACGACACCGGCCTGACCCCCGGCGGGGCGACTGCTGGCCTGGGCCGGGTTCGGGACGCACTCGTGAGGAGCCTGTCCTGCCGCCGGGGGGATGGGGGGCCCTGTCCCTGGGTCCCCCGAGCGGTGAGGGCCCACACGGCTTGGCGGCCAGACTCCAGGCGCGGCCGCACCAGCGTCTGATCTTCAAGGGGCCGCCAACGTTGAAAGGGCCCGGCTGGGGCCGGCTCTGAATGCGGAGCCCCCGGGTTCCGGGCCCTGGGACTGCGGGTCCCCCAGCCCCGCCACCACTCAAGTCTCATCTTCAAAAGCCAGGGGCCGCGGGCTGCGTCTCTTTCCTCCCGCTTTGAAGCTCGGCAGCTTGGCACAGGCTGTGGGCGCACTGGGGGAAGGGGGCGGGAATGCGGGGGGGGGGCCGGGCCGGGGCCTCCTGAGCCCCCCGAGCTTCGTCCTCCTGACTCGGCCCCTGCAGCCCCCGGCCCGGGGGAGGGCCGCTGTAGGCCGCCAGGGAGTGGACTTACCCCTGCCAGGTCTCGCGGGCAAGGAAGAAACGGGGCCGCAGGAGCGGGGCACGAAGGACCGGCTGAAGCGCCAGCAGGGGCAGGAGGCTCTAGGGCGCGCTCACCGGTGGACTCGGGGCGCCCCGAGCTACGGTGGGGGGCCTCCGCCTTCCCCAGAGGCGCCTCTCCCGCGTCCGACCCGGCCTTTTGCTCTGCAGGGCACTGGGAGCAAAACACATAAGGTTCCTTCAATGTCAACCCAGGAGGCCAGCCTGGGGGCGGGGCGGGCCGGGGCTGTCCCCGAGGCTGGGGGAGGCAGGGGTCGGGCTGGGGCACCCCCAGCCAACTGGCAGCGCCTCTCCATGCGGGAGGGGAGGGGAGGGGAGCCTCGGGGCCGCCACCCCGGGAACCCAAAGACCCCCTTCCCGGGCCCAGCATGCCACCCCCGTGTCTCGGGACCGTCCTCTGGGGCTCTCTGCCTAGGAGTGGGGCCGGGGGAGAGCCCTGAGCCCTCGAGCCCCAAGGCCTGGCGGGGCCTCACACCTGCTTCTCGGGAAGCGAAAGCTCCAGGGGACCCTGCGTCCCCCCGTGGGAAAAGGCAGCGGGCGCACGCGGGCTCCAGGAGGGGCTGCTGGAAGAAGCCTCCCGGCGGGCCAGGCCCACTGCCAACGACCCCCAGGCGAGCGACCACCGGGCCCCGAGGGGCGTCCGTCATTTCCTGCTCTGGGCCCCCCGAGGAGCCTGAGCCGTCCAGCGAGACGGGCAGCGTGGGCAGGCCCGGACAGCAGCGGAAACCCCAAGCCCAGGCCCCGCACACGGGACGCTCGGGACCCTAAGAGCGGGCGTGGAGCACGCGAGGGGTGACAGGCCGCGGCTCGGGCTGGTCCCTGACCGGGCACCGGCCAGCCAGCGCGACCTCCGTGTCCCCCCGTGGACAGCGGCTTGGCAGAGAGGGCAGCCAGAAGCCACCGTGAGTCACGGCCGGCAGCGCCCCCGGAAGCTCCCCACGTCCCGTCCGCGCCCAGCGGCCTCCCCGCCCGCCTCTGGCCACTGCAGCCTCGAGGTCCCCTTCCCGCCAGGAGGACGGGCGCCCTCTAGGGGCCGCGGGGACACGGAGGAAGGAGGCACCAGGGATGGGCTTCAGGAGGGCCGGGGGGGTCCGAGCAGGCTCGTGGACACGCACCCCCGCTGACTCTGGACCCCGTCCCAGAAACGGCGCTAAGGGCCTTCCTGGGACAAGTGTCAGATGGGCCGGGGGTGCGGGGCACTGGCTGTGCTCCTGGCGGGTCCCCCACAGGAAGGCGGGGGGTGGATTGCCAGGGGGCGTCACTTGGAGCCTGAGGGGCCCAGTCCCGCGGGGCCAGGCTACGGGCCAGACGGACGTCCCCTTCAGAGGCGGCTGGAGACGGCCCGAGGGCGGGGCCCGAGCACCTCAGAACCAGAGGAAGGGGCGCAGCAGCCGGGCAGTGGGTGGCGGCCCCTGGGCTCCCGCTGAGGCCCACGGGGCAGGACCTGGAGGCCGGGCCGAGTCCCAGAGACCCTCTGCGTGTCGCCCTCGCCAGAGGTGCCCCCGCAACCCCGTGCCATCAGCCGCGTCCACATCCCCGCGTCCGTCCTGTTCGTTCTGGTTTGGAGGCCACAGCGGACGGAGCTCAGGGCTCACTCCCGGCCGGGGGCTGAACCCGGGTCCACGGCGCCGAGCGTGTGCCACCCCCCCCCCGCCCGGCCTCTGGTCCGGGCTCACTCCAGGGGGGCCGATTCTGGCGCCCGCTCCTGACACAACGGTCTGCCGCGTCCTGCTGCGTCCAGCCCCCGCGTGGGAGGGGAGGGCCCGGACCCAGGGCGAGCTCGGCCCCGGGCCCCGACCCTCAGCAGACACAGAAGGGGCGGGAGGCCGGCCCCTCTGCTCACGCCGGGGCCCCCCGACAAGCGGGTGGGAGGCCTCCCTCCCCCTCACGGCCCTGCAGACGCACCCGCAGTGCGGGGGCCGACCCGGTGCAGCTCTGGGTCCCCCGGCTGCCCCGGGGGCAAGTGCCCGCTGGCCGGAGGTGGCCGCAGGGGTGATGTGCCCCCTGGACCGAGACAGGGCAGGGGGGCCTCCGGGACACACACCTCGGCTGACCCCGATGTGCGGCACAGACGGTCCAACAGCGCCGCCAATCGCCCCGAGACCCCCCCCGCCCCCCGGGACCAGCCCAGACGCCGCCGCGCCCCTCGCCAGCCGACAGTGCTGCCCAGAGTCTTCAAGGAGAGCCCCCCTCTCCCTCCCCCCGTCCGTCGGGGGCTTCCCTCCCCGCCTGCAGCCCCCTCGGGCCCACCCGCCTTACCTTCTGCGCTTTCTCCTTCTGAAACACGAACACGGGCGGCGCAATGGCGGGCTTCTCTGCGGAGAGAAAAAGGGGCGCTCGGCCCCCCAGCACCAGGGTCAACAGCAGGCACCGCGCCGAGACGGCACGGGCTCGGGAGCCCACGGCCCCTGCCCGCCCACCTGGGGGGCCAGCGCAGCTCCGGGGCGGGTGCCCGGCGGGGGGCGCGGCCACCGGAACGCTGCACTCGGCCCGCTGCTCCCCTCGCTGCTCCGGCTCAGCGCCAGGAAGCTGACCTGGGTCCGGGGGGCCCCCTGCCCCGTTGCCCGGGACGCGGCTGTGATGCCATCGGGGCCCCCTGGCGCCCAGTGGCTGCCAGAGGAAGAAACCCTCGTGGGGGGAGGGGGCGAAGGGGGCTCCCCCCCCCCGTCTCCCAGCCGCGGACGGAGACCCCAGCACGCCGAGAGGGTCAGCGGCCGGGGGAGCGGGCAGCAGCCCGCGCGGACGTGGATACGGGGTCCCTGGCCTCTGGCACCCTGTGCCCGCCCGCCCTGTCCCGCCCAGGCCACTGTCGGGCACCCCAAGCCCCCTCCCGCGTTCCCGTGAAGGGCGGGCTCTCCTCTCCCATAACGGGGGCACTGGCGTCTGTGCGAGGCCAGACCCCGACCCGGCCCGAGACAATGGACTCTGGAGAGAGTAGAAGAAGGGTGAGCGGGTGGCCGGCCCAGTGGGGCGCCGGGCTCCTGGGGACCCTGGCAGCATCTCCGTGTCCCCGCAGCATGGGGCCCCTGGCGTGCCCGCTGGTGCCCTCAGAACCCCCCCACGGCACCTGCCCTGAAGGTTGAGTAGGGCTGAAATCCCGTGTCCCTCCCCTGCCAGGACCCACCCGGCCCAGTCTGGGGTCTGACCCACGCAGCCCGTCCCAAACATCCCCCGACCCAGCACCCCAACTCGCCCCAAGTCAGGGAAGCTGTCAATGCTGACAGGCCCCCAGGCCCCCAGACACAGTGAGTTCACTGGGCGACAGGCTGCGTCCCCAGGTCTATGGGGCAGCACCCCCCGGACCCCAGGACTGGCCAGGAAACTGGGCAGGCATGGCGTCTCGGCTCGGCCCCACACGGGGGTGCTGTCGGGGGAGAGCCCCTGCCCTTACCGTATCCCAGTAAGGGGGCTCCCTGGTGGGCCCGGGGCTGTGGTGTACAGGGCTGAATCGGAATCACCGTCCCCCCCAACCTCTGCGGCCCTCGAGGCCGGGCCCAGCCCCGCCCCACCGTACAGGAAAAGCCGCAGAGACCCGGGGTGGGCTACAGGCTCGCCCCCCGCCCCCGCACAGCCGAGGACAAAGGCAGGGCGCCCTGCAGGAACAGACGCCCCTTTTCTTGGGGGAAGGTGCAGCCGCCAGGTGACAGATAAGCATCTGTGGACCAGCCCGAGGAAGCGCTGGGGTGAGTGATGAGTCTGGGGGTGCCGCCCCCCCACCGCACCGGGCAGCCACCTCCTCTGACAGGGGCGCCACGAAGCCCCCCGGCCGACCCCGGGGTCCCTCCAGGAAAGAATGAAGGCGCATTCCAGGGCGCAGTGGCGGCCAGACCAGCCGTGTTCTGTCTTGTCCGTCCGCGGGGCCGCTCCTGGCTCAGAACCTGCATTCCCCGCCCGGCCCCCCCTTACATAAACTGCCCTCCGGCCCACCAGGAAGCAGGCACGTGCGCACAGGCCGGGCTGCTTGGCCCCCAAACACCCCCCGTTATGCCCAGGAGATCACAGCTGGGCACCCCGAAGGTCCCGGCCCCGGCACTCTCGGCCCCTCCTGCCGAGACCCGGACCCCGCTGGAAAGACTCCCGACCCCAAAGGCAATGAGCCCCCATCCAGAAGCCGGAGCCCCCTGCTTTCACCCCAGACTCCCACTTCTCCACCCTCCCAGACGGCGCTGGCTGCAGGAAGGACCACCCGCAGATGACCCTCACCCACGGGTCGGGTCTGTTTGCCAGCTAGTTGCGGGCCGCCGAGGGAGGGTCCCGATGGTAGCCCCGTGTTGCTGGCAATGCCTCCCCTCCCCCAGCTCAGGACCCGCAGGGCCGTCGGCCTCACCGAGTGGATGGGTGCGGCTGTTTGGGGGAGACGGCGGGCCTGGCATCCCCGGGAGCCCCTTTCCGGAACTCTCCGCAGCCTGCTGATGCTTCCCCCGGCCAAGCCCCACCACACATCCCCACAGCCCTCCGTGCAGGGCATCGCACCGGAAACCGGCCCCCCGCGCCCCCACTTCCTGTGTCGGGAGCAATATTCACACCCTCCAGGACTTGCCAGCGAGACCGCAGGGGCCCCAGGCAGCCGGTGCTCGGTCACAGAGCTGCTGAGTCGGGCTTCTGAGCTGGGCACCTCACAGTCCGCCGGCCCCCCGGGTCCAGCCGCAGCCATGCTCAGGGGGCCGAGGGGCCCCTCCTGGCTACCTTGGCCAAGGCCGGGCCCCATGCAAGGCAGGCCTGTGAGCCAGCCCCGCCTCCCGGTCCCAGCCTGACCACAACGAGCGGGGGGCAGAAGACCCTTGTGGGCTGCCTCCTTCCTGCCTGCATTCTTCTGGGGAAGGGGTTAGGCCTTCGCCCCCAAGCTCGCAGCCCCCTTTCTTCCCCTCTGCCATGTGGGCACGGGCTGGGTGGGCACGTCCTCCCCCAGGCCTGGAGACAGCGAGCGGCGGGCGGAGGGCACTGTCGCCTCGTTCCCGGTCCCCCCTCCGAGCTCAGGATGCTGGAGGTCCTGCCGAGGCGCCCCTTCCTCCCGGCCCGGCCGCGGGGGGCTGGCACCCTCTAGCGGAGGGAGGGAGAAGGGCCAGGCCGAGCAGCGCCCCTCCCCCCCAGCAGAAGCCTGACACATTCCCACGTGAGATGCCCCCCCCAGCCTCGCTGGGGGGGTCCACACTCCGCAGCGTGGGGGAGACCATGCAGGGTCTGCCGGGCTCCTCCCCGGCTGTCACAGGCCGGGGCCCTCGTGCCAGGTGCTGTGGCTGGAGGCCGCGGGGAAGCGCCAGTTTCAAGCTCCCGCCGGAACGGAGAGATGGAGCCGGGCCGACGCACGCCGGGGTCCGGCAGCTCGTGCTGGCGGCCTGCCCACCCCGCCCAGCAGCGGCAGCGGCATGAGGCCTGCATCCTAAGCCGGAAGAGACTTCGCTCACTTTGGCCCAAGTCGCCCAACTGACGGACACTCCTGATCCTTATGCCGAGGAGGGATAAGGCGCTCAGGTGGCGCCCTGCAGGACTCAGAGCCGGGGATGGGGCCGGGGCCGGGCTCAGGGCCCCCTTCCTCCCGCCGTCAGAGAGAGAAAGTCGCAGACCGGGGAAGGCAGGCGCCGGGGCACGTCCTGGGACAGTGCAGCACTCAGCTCCCTGGGAAGGACCCGGGGGTCCCGGGGGGCCGGGCCCCACCTGGGAGAAATGGGGCCGCGTGCGGCAGGTGCCCGCCGGGACCCCAGAGCCCCAACGCACGCAGGCCGGCCGGCAGTCCCTGCTGAGGCACCTGACAGCAAGGTCAGGCGTAGGGGAGAGGGGACGCTGCAGTCGGGGCCACCTACGAGGGCACCTGGGCCTCCTCGCGGCCGGTGGGAGCGGGACAGAGCAGGGACGCGGCCAAGGCTGCCTCCTGTCCCCGGGAGAGTCGGACATGGGCACTGCGTGGGCCCTCGGGGAAGGGAACTGACCGCTCGCTGGGAAATAAACGCGACGGCCGGGAAGGGGGGTTGGTGTGGGGGCCTGGGGGCCTCCGTCGTGTCCCTGGAAAGCCACCCCGGGTTCTGACCAGCCAGTCCCCTGCAAGCGCCCACTCACCCCTCAGACGCTGCCCCTTGGAGCCTTGGGCTGTGGAGCTAGTCTGGGAACGTCGGGGGAATCCGGGCAGACTGCTGCCCCCTCGGCCCGTGTGGGGGAGATGTGGGCAGTGCACCCGGGAGGACTCCTGGGAGGCCACTGTGCCATGGCACTGCCCACGCCATGCGGGACTCAGAACCCACAGCCAGAGCCTCTGTGCGTCACAGCTGCCCGGCGCCACGGAGAGCTGCTGGGGTGCCCTTACCCCCCCCCACTGAACCCCCTTCTAGACTCACCCACTGACAGCCTGCTGCCGCTCACACAGCCCCCTAGAGCATGCGCCCCCAGGAGTGCGTGACCCCGAGGCCAGTGGGGCGGGCACCTGCCTTGCATGAGGCCGACCCGGCTTCAATCCCACAGGGTCGGTCCCCTGAGCACGCCAGGAGTGAGCCCTGAGCGGGAGTAACCCCTGAGAACTGCCAGGAGTGAGTTCCCCGCCACGAAGTAGGAGGGTGAAGAGAGCTGCCCCAAGTCAGCTGGACAGTGCACGGCGCAATCGGGACACAAACCCGCCGTGAGAACCCCGGGTGTCTCACACACACACGACATAGACATAAACACACACACACGCAAACATGCATGCACACGTGTACGCCCGGCTCTTTCCACAGCAAGGAGAGTGCCTGGTATCACTTCATCCCCGAACCTGTCGCGCCCCTGGAGGTCAGGGCAGGGGGACGCAGGTGTCACTGGCACACCTGGGCAGGGCCCAGGGCTATCAGTCGCCAGGGCCTGGCCAGAAAGCCAGCTGGCCCATCAGGCAGTGCTCGGGGACCCTCTGGGGTGCCAGGCTCAGATCCAGGTGGGCTGAGTGCTGCCCCGAGGCCCCGGCTCCTGGCTCTCCCTCGGGCGCTGGGGGCCTCCGGGCCTTCGGAATTTCCTGGACCCCGTCTAGTGTGACTGGAACCCCGCCTCGAAACCCGGCTGTCAGTGGCCCAGAGCTGGGGGTGGTGACCGATGAGAATCCGTACCAAGACCCGCGAGAGTGCAACGGGGTCTGTGTGTGACGCTGGCGCCCACCCCCGGCCCCAACTCCGGCCTTCAGAGTTGGTGAAAGCGCAAAGGGTGGGAGCACCGGCTCGGCGCGATGCAGGGCACCCAGGTGGCTGCGGGGAGCCAAAGGGACGCGCGCTGGGGCTGGGTGCCCAGTCTGCAAAATGCCCCCCAGGTGATAAGCTGTCCCACCTTGGGTGGGGGGTGGGGCGCGAGGCTGGACCAGCTCAGCCCCCGCAGGCCGCCAAGGGGCTGACCAGCACCTGGACAGGCGGGGCCCCGAAAGCTTCCCGCCATGAAGTCCCGAGAGAGAGCACGCACCGGGAGGAGCGTGTGCCCCCCAGAGTGACCAGGAAGCGCCTGTCGGCGGGAGTGTGCCCAGGGGAGTACATGCAGGTGCCAGGGGAGAGACGGAGCGTGTGCGTGTGCCCAGGGGAGCACTGCTGGGGCACTCAGACACCCAACAGCCTGTCCCAAGGCTGCGCGAGCCCCATGGGGCCACGGAGCAGTCGAAAGGCGGCAGGGACACAGGAGACGCCCCCCCACCCCCAGGCCACCAGGAGTCGACTTCCGGGACAGCCCCAGCAGAACCATCCCCAAAAGCCCAAGCACGAGGCGAGAGCAGCACCTAGTGGGCAAAGCCTTCTAGAACATTCCATTCTGCCCTTGTACAAACTTACTCGGGCCACCGTGCAATTTACAGCTGCCAGCCCCGAGAAACAGGAGCCCCCAAGGGGGCACCTCACGATGGGGGTTGGCGGGGGGCTCACTGACGGTCCCCTTCACTCACCTCCCAGACACCTAGCTAGAGGGAGCGCGCCAGGGCCCGCACGCCAACGGGTAGGGGCCAGGGCACTGCAGGGACGCCGATGACAGTCAAGTCCCCTTCGAGAGTGAGAGCCTGGGCACAGAATGAAACCCACGGGGGCCCACCCAGGAGGACGGATGGTCTTTCTGGGAGGGGAACCAGCGGGTCCCTCCGGGGCTCAGGGGACTTATCCAGGCCACCCGGTGACACGGGGACACAGGGCACGTCAGGGAGATTCTGGAGGGCTGGGGGGAGACGGGGGAGGCCCGTGCCAGGGCAGCGCTGGTTTTGAGACGTGCTTCAGCCCTGGACACATCCCTTTTTTTTCCTCGTTGTGTTTTTCAGGTCACACCCAGCGGTGCTCAGGGCCGACTCCTGACTCCTGTGCTCAGGATCACCCCTGGCGGGGGCTCAGGGCACCCTATGGGGGGATGCTGAGGATCGAAACGGGGTAGACCGCATGCAAGGCCGATGCCCCGTTCTGCTGCTCCCTCCCTCCCTCTCGCCACCCACCACCACCCCACTCGCACACACACACACAGACACACACACACAGAGGGAATGGCAGCATTTGCTTGTGCAGGAAAACTTCCAGCAGGTTCCGGGCCCCCAGCGATTCCAAGGCAGCCCCCCACACTGTGCCATGCATGCATGGGGGGAAAGAGGGGGCACCCAGGAGGGGAGCCGGGGGTCGCCCGGAGCTCCACGCCGGCCACCGCCACCTCGATCCACACTGCTGACCCACTCAGGGGGTCCAGCGAGAGACTGGGGCGGGGGGGCGGGGTGGGGACCGACCCCGCGGTGACCCTGGAGGCCCAGGGCTCTGTGTCCACAGCCAAGGGCCCGAGCATCCGTGGCCTGCCTGACCCGGGGTGGGGCCTCCCACTGGACACGGGCAACCCGGGCGCAACAGCGCGTGCCGGGGATCGGGGCTTCGACTGCACGACCAGCACCAGAGCAGGTGGAGGGAGGGGAAGGCTTCTAGAAGCTTCCCCCACCTCCTTCCTGCACGCTGGGCTGGGGGTGGGGGGCTCGTGGGTGCTGCTGCTGCTGCCCACCCTGCTCCCAGTACGCTCCGTGCATTTGCTCGGGGTTGCAAAATGGGGCGGGGGTCGCGGTGCAGCGAGGGTGGCGGGTCTCCCCCCCCCCACCAGGTGCTTCCTGCAGGCACCTGTCAGCTGACCCCGGGGGCGGGGGGGGGGGGGCGGGGGTCGCCACGCAGGGCGCGGGGGCCGGGCTGGAGGGTCCCCACCCGGGTCCCCGGCAGCCCCTCGGGGTCGGAGCGAGCCGGCCCGCGACCCCTCCTCAAAAGCCGGGCCGACCCCCCCCCACCCCAGCCCCCCCCCCCGCCCCAGGAAGGGGCCGCGCAGACCCCGGGGGGCGCCGGGGAGGGGGGGGCGGGGAGGCTCGGCCTGACACCCCGGGGGGGCGGGAGCACCGAGGACCGAGCCGCTCCGCCTCAGTTTCCCGGCGCCGGGACGGAGACCCCCGCCCCCCAGCCCCACCCCCCACCCCCCCCCTCGCGCCCCGGGGGGGACCCCCGAGCGGGCGCGCCACAGGCTCCGGCGGGGCGGGGGTCCCCAGGGCCGACGGCGAAGGGGGGCGGGAGCCCGAGCCCCCGACCCCCCGACCCCCGACCCCGGAAGGCGCCCCCCGCGGCGGGGACCCCCGCCCCGGCCCCGCCGCGACCTCCCCCCTCCCGCGGGACGCGGTTCCGGGCGCGGGGCGGGGCCGGGGCGGCGCTCGGGGCCGCGGGGGGCCGCGGGGGGGCGCTCGGCCGGCGCCTCGAGACCCCCGCCCGGGGCCCGGCGCCGCCCCCGCCGCCCCCCGCCGCCCGCCGGCGCCCCCCCTACCTTCGTTCGCCAGGTCCGCCATTTTACTTCCTTGAACCCTCCCACAAGGCCCCGCGCGCGCCGGGCCCGGGTCGCCTGCGGGCGGCCAGCAACTCCCGCGCCTGCGCACTGCGCCCGCCGACGCGCAGCCCGGCGGGCGGCTGGCGCGCAGGCGCGCAGGCGCGTCGCGGGGAGCCCCGCCCCGCCCCGCCCCGCCCCGCCCCGCCCCGTCCCGGCGCAGGCGCGCCGCGGCCCCCGGGAGCCCCGCCCCCGCCGCCAAGTCTCGCGCTCCAGGGAGACCCGCACGGGGCGGGGCGGGGCGGGGCTCTCCGCGACGCGCCTGCGCGCTCGCTCCACCCCCCCCCCGCGCGCCTCTGGTTCCCGCCGGCCCGAGGGGGCGGGGCCGGGCTCCGCGCGCATGCGTTGTGCGTGCGTCTCGCTCGGGCTCCGGCGCTGCTGGCCTGGGAGGGACGGGGCGGGGCGGGGTTTTCCCCGGGGCGGCCCGGGGGGTCCCAGACCGAGACGTTCGCCCCGGGCCTAGGTAAAGCCTGGATGCACCCCGGGGGGCGCTTTTCGAACGCTGACAGGCCCGAGGTCTCTTGGGGGTGGTCTGCCTGCGAAGCCTCATCTTCCCCCGCCTTCTCGTTCTTTGCTTTTCGGGTCACACGCGGCGATGCCCGGGGGTTACTCCTGGCTCGGGAATGACCCCTGGCCGTGCTCGGGGGACCCTCTGGGATGCTGGGAATCGAACCCGGGTCGGCCGCGTGCAAGGCAAATGCCCTACCCGCTGTCCAACTGCTCCAGCACCTCCCCGCCTTATTCCTTTTTTTAAAAATTTTTTGCTTTTTGGGTCACACCTGGCAATGCACAGGGGTTACTCCTGATTCTGCACCTGGCGGTGCTCAGGGGACCCTGTGGGATGCTGGGAATCGAACCCGGGTCGGCCGTGTGCAAGGCAAGCGCCCTCCCCGCTGTCCTACTGCTCCAGCCCACACAGTCCCCCTTTATTTTTTTTATTTTTTATTTTTGCTTTTTTTGGGTCACACCCGGCAATGCACAGGGGTTACTCCTGGCTCGTGCACTCAGGAATCACCCCTGGCGGTGCTCGGGGGACCCTATGGGATGCTGGGAATCGAACCCGGGTCCAACGCATGCAAGGCAAGCGCCCTCCCCGCTGTCCTACTGCTCCAGCCCACACAGTCCCCCTTTATTTTTTAAAATTTTTTATTTTTGCTTTTTGGGTCACACCCGGCAATGCACAGGGGTTACTCCTGGCTTTGCACTCAGGAATTACTCCTGACGGTGCTCAGGGGACACTATGGGATGCTGGGAATCGAACCCGGGTCCAACGCATGCAAGGCAAACGCCCTACCCGCTGTACTATCGCTCCAGCCCCCTCCCCGCCTTATTCTGAATTATTTTTATTCCCATGCTCAGGGCTGACTCCCGGCTCCGCACTCAGGAATTACAACTGGCGGTGCTCCAGGGACCCTATGGGATGCCGAGGGCTGAACCCTGGGCGGGCGCGTGCAAGGCAAACGCCCTCCCGGCTGCACTACCTCCAGCCCCCTTGAGATTGTACATCGGGTCAGCAGCGAGGAGCAGAGGTCAGAGGTCGAGGCGCGGTGGCCAGAGGGGAGGGGAGATCACCAGGATGGGGTGGGGCTGGTGGCACTGGTGGGGACCCCGGCCAGGAGAACGGAAGTTCCAGGAAGGTCAGACCCTGCCAGAAGGGGCCTAATGGGGTGACTGCCGTCCCCCACCCGCCAAGGGTTAGGATATGGGACAGCCAGGATTCGCGTTGGACCCCTCCTGTAATCAATGACTTCCTCAGAACACCTTGGGGACTGTCCTGGTTCTCCAAAATAAAGCTCTGATTTCCTCCAGGCAGAACGTGATGAAAAAAAATATATATATATTTTTAAAGATTTCCGGGACAGAGCTATTCCGGGGAGGGCGTTTGCCCTGCACGCGGCCAACCCGGGTTCGATCTCCAGCATCCCATATGGTCCCCTGAGCACCACCAGGGGTGATCTCTGAGTGCAGAGGCAGGAGTCAGCCCTGAGCATCTCTGGGTGGGCGTGACCCCCAAACAAAAGTCCCGACCCAGTCTTTTTTTTTTAATAACAATTTTGTTGAAAAGACCCTGAAATTAATGGGCTGGAGAGGTAGCTTAACAAGCTGAGCGCATGCCAAGCAGCCTTGGGGTTGGGAAAGGGCAGGCAGCTGCGCCCCTTTTTGTTTAAAAGTGGCGGTTGGTGGACCCACAGGTGTGTCCGAGCCCACCGTGGCTTGTGACTGTTTCTGGTTTTCCTCATTTTTCTTCAAGACAAGCAATACATCCAGCCCTACTGCGTACCACTCCACTTTTCCCGGCACCCACACTTACTGGGGCATTTGCTAATGGAAGAGGGGGTCATAGAGGACTCAGAAGAGACTGATCAGTGTCAGGTCAGTTACCCGGGGACTGGGGAACAACTGATCAGTCTGCCGGTGAGGGAAGAAGGTGGAAGGCGGATGGACCCGACATCCAGTGGTCTCGGAGCCTGTTTTCTCAGTGGGTGGCCCCAAGGCTGGACCTACCTTGCCAGCCACACACACAGTCCCAGCCAGCCCTGGACCAGCACTGCCTGCTATTAACACCCCAGGGTACCACATTCCCGTTAAGCCTCTCCTCACCTGCCCTATTCTTTGCACTGGGTGGTCTTTCCTTGGGGTCTTGGCTGTTTCCCAGGAATTGAATGCAGGCGGTCCCTTTAGGGTGGGCACCCACAGCAGTCAGCGCACCCCCTCCGCCAGTGCGCGTGACGTCACCTGATGTCACAGTTCAGATTCCTCCGTTCCGCTCCTAGGAGTCCGGGCACCTTTGCCACTGATGGGGATTTGGAATCTTCAGCATCAAACGGGGGTCAGGGGGTGGGTGGGGGCGGGGGATATTTTGAGCTGCGGAAGGGGAATTGAGAGCTGGGGAGGGGGAAGCCAACTCCCACTGTTTTGAATCACTCTTGCCATTTATTAACCAGAAGGGTCCCCCTCTGGTTAAATATGTGTCTGGAGCCTCGACCGCTAGGGGGCGGCAGAGAGCCACAGACCATTTGGGTATCTCAGGGGTTCGGGGCTGGGCAGGGGTTCGGGGCTGGGCCAGAGCAGGGCTGTTCTGGGGGCGTAGTAAGACGGCGGGCCTGGCACCCGGGAAACAACTCGGAGGAATTGCACCCATGTTCCTGGAACTTTCTATCTGCAGGGTCTTCCTGTATTTTTTTGCGGGGGCTTCTCAAAGTCTTCGAGCTACTAGGGTGACGGGTGGGGGTGCACCAAACCGGGGTTCCCCACCCCAATCCTCCCCCAGACTGCCTGTCTGACCAGGGGTGCAGGACAAAGCTCCTGGACACGTGCTTTGGGGACCTGTCCCCACTGTGGCCGCAGCAAGGCCCCCCCCCCCCCAAGAGGGAGCCTGGCTTTATTCTGCGCTGCATGAACAGAGGCGGCGGTTGGTCCTGTAAGGGGCCACCATCGGAGCTGCCACCTCTGGCCATGCTGACCTTGTTAAGTGAATCCCGGGGAGGTCCCGCCCCTCCTTCTGGGATGTTCTGCAGAGCGCCTGGGGGAGGCGCTGGAGGCAGCGGAACCCGGCTGGGTTGGCCGGCTCAGGACAGGGGACTGGCCAGGAGGGAGGGTCAGTGTGTGGTAAGTGTGTGCATGGTGGGCGGGGTGGGGGGGAAAGGGAAGAGGCAGGAAATGGGCTACAGGGTGGGGTGTGATTCCCCGAAAGAACACGAGGTGTGTTGGTGGCGATTTGAAAAAAAAAAAAAAGATTGGAGGTCAAGGGGCTGGGTGTGTGCACCGCAGGCAGGGTGCCCGGGTTCCATCCCTAGCATTACACATAGCTCCGGGAGGAGTTTCTGAAAGTGGCTCCTGAGCACTGAGCCAGGAAGAGCCCCGGAGCACTGCCGAGTGTGGCCCCCAAATTCAAACACAACATCTGAGATGGGGGCAGAGTGATGACTTCAAAGGAATGCAGTATATGCCTTGCATGCAGGTGCCCTGAATTTTTTTTTTTTTTTGATTTTTGGGTCACACCCGGCGATGCACAGGGGTTCCTCCTGGCTCTGCACTCAGGAATTACTCCTGGCGGTGCTCAGGGGACCATATGGGCTGCTGGGAATCGAACCCGGGTCGGCCGCGTGCAAGGCAAACGCCCTCCCCGCTGTGCTATCGGGCCAGCCCCAGGTGCCCTGAATTTGACCCCCAACACTGGGGCCCCCCAAAAAACCTCTGGAGTGTAGCTCTATATTGGCAAGATATCACGCTCCGGGGTACGGTGAGGGTCACACCCTGCGGTGCTCGGGGCTGACTCCCCGCTCTGTTCTCAAGGATCACTCCTGGCAGGGCTCGAACTCGGGTCAGCCGTGTGCAAAGCGAGGACCTCTACCTCCCAGCACTGGACCCTCTGTCCGTCATGGGCTGAGAATCTTGGGGACTGGCTTCCCGACACCTTGACGATGGCCTGGGAGGTGCCCTTCCCCTTCCCATCCCCCCGAAGGGCAAGAGAACAGGAACGGACTTTGGAAGGCTGTCTTCACTGTCCAGAACCTTCTGAGGGGACCCCGCCGACAAGCAGGCAGAAACCAAGGTCCCCGGACCACATGCGGAAGCCGAGGCAGCGAAGGGACGCATGGAACACACCAGGAGCCGTGACGGGAACTCTCCAGAGGGGAGAGATATATTTGAGAGACATTCTTCGTCCGATTTCACCTAAGTCGTCAACGCTAAGGCCAGAGCGACGCTTGACTAGTACAGACTTTTGGTTTCTACAATCAGCCGGCTCTTTCCCCTCTCACCCTCTCTGCTCCGTGCGTCCGGCTGAGGGGGGACGGGCTTGAGGTACGCCAAGCCTGGGGGGGGAGTCTGGTTTCGTAAAGGCCACGTGAGTTTACATTAGTACCTTTTTCTGCATGAATGAGAACAAAATATTTGGGACCGCATATACATACCCAGAAGAAAACATTCTAACAACAGCACAAAAAAAAAAAAAAAGAGAGAAAGAAAAAAGAAAAGGAACCTATCGGTATAAACTTATTTCCAAAAAGGCGAAACGATTGCATTGCATTAAGACAAGCGCTTCTCGCGAGACCAGAGGTTTGTCTTTCTTCTTGGCAGTTGGTTTCGGGGAACGGAGCTTTTGCCCGCGGCCAACCAAGTGCAATGTGAGGACAGAGCCCGGACCCGGAGGGGCCTTCAAGTTCAAGGGCTGCCCAAATCCTTGGGATTCGTTCGTTTTGGGGGGTGGGGGGGAGGGAGGGGGTTGAACCTGAAACAGCAGCAACTCTACAGGGGACGAGCCTGGGACCACAGTGCTCCGGAGGGGGGCGGGGCGTTCCTCCCAAGGGCGGTGTTGCAGGAGGCTGGAGTTTGGGAGAAGGACTGCAGGGTGCAGGTCCAGATGCAGGACAGGAGAACTGGCTGACCCCTGGCCCCGACAAGGGCCCCTGGGAGCAGGAGCACCGGGGGTCGTGGCCAGAGTGGGTGGGGCGTGGCCTGCCTGGGGCTGGGAACTTGGGCCAAAGCCCCCTCCCCTGGCTGACCCCCATCTCGCCCGAGCCACCAGCTCCCGCTCCGGTGGCCGGTTCCTGGCGTGGCCCTGGGAACGGGAAGCTGGCAGCTGCTTCTGGAAACTTCTGGTGTCTGGACTGGGTGCCTCCTGCGGGGTTCCTCGCCCTGCCAGCCTCAGCCCAGAGGCTCCGCTTTGCATTCTTGGGGTGGGTGGGGAAGCCGGGGGGGCCTCGGTGGACGAAGGCGCGGCTGCAGCGGGCAGGCGGGCGGGCGGCGTGGAGGAGGCGATCGGGAAAGAGATGGGGCGGCCTGCGGGGTCTGGGGCGGATGGGTGTGGGGGGCGCTGGCCCTGGGCTCCTCCGGGCCAGGGGCGCGCGCGTCAGGCACGAGAGCGGCGGGGCTCGGGCCCGGGGCCCCAAGCCCGAAGGCACAAGGCGGCGGCGGGGGCCGGGGGCGCCCCTAAATGTCCTGCAGCGAGTGGTTGGTCTCGCTGCGCTCCCGCTTCACCAGGGGCTCCCCGAGGCTGTGGGGGTCCGAGTCCGCCTCGCTGCGGTGGCCCTCGCCCACCTCGTCTGCGGGGCCGCGTGTGGAGTCCCGGGAAGGGGGAAGAGACAGAGGTGCGCGTTTGGCACCGGGACCTTCCCGACCCGGACGCGGGAAAGTGCCGGGGACAAACCCAGGGGTGGGACCCCCAAGCACTGCTAGGGTGGGGGTGGGGGGGGAAGCGGGTATTCTGCCTCAACTCCGGAGTGCGGGCCCCAGGTCCCCTCTCCTTGGGGCAGAAGCTGGACCCCTTTCTAATCTTGCTTTGTTTGGGGGCCACGCCCGGCAGTGCTCGGGGCTTACTCCTGCCGCGTCAGTGCTCGGGGTTCATTCCTGGAGAGCTCGAGGAACCCTGTGGGGTGTCCGGGATCGATCCCAAGTTGGGCCCTCCCCACTGTCCTATCACTCAGACCCCCTAGGAGCTGGACCCCCTGGACCACCCCAATTGGCACCGCTGCCTCCACCTACCAGGGGCCTCCTCTGGGGGGCCCCCTGCAACCTAGGCCTGCCTGATTTCTGGCGGCGGAGGGGGGCAGCGGGGAGGAATGCTCTTGGGGGAGGCTTACCCACCTTTGTCCAGCAGCGTCAGCGACAGCGAGGCCAGATCATTGAACTGCAAGAGAGAGACCAGGGTCAGGGCCCAGGGTGTGACGAGCGAGCCCTTGCAGTGACAGCAGCTAGCGTGAGGCGGAAGGAGCTCCTCCAGGGCGGCCGCTGGCACTTCCGCGAATGAGGCCCAGGGTTGGGGGCGGGGGGGGTTCGCTGTCCACGCCAGCCAGCCAGGGGGCAGCGGCAGTGGGGCTCCCTGATCCTGACCCCCGAGGAATGGAATGCAGGTTTGCAAACAGAGCACAGGTCGGGAGAGCATCCACGGCAGTGACGCACAAATGAGGTGAGTGGAAAATGCTGCGTGGAGCCACAGAACAGCGGTACCTGCTGACCTTGAACCCGGCCGACCAGGGTTCGATCCCCGGCATCCCATTTGGTTCCCCCAGCACCGTCAAGGGCTAGAGCGATAGCACAGCATTTGCCTTGCAAGCAGCCAACATGGACGACCTGAGTTCGATTCCTCGGACCCTCTCAGAGAGCCCGGCAAGCTACCAAGAGTATCTCGCCCGCACGGCAGAGCCTGGCAAGCTCCCCGTGACGTATTCGATATGCCAGACACAGTAATAGTTGTCACAATGGAGATGTTACTGGGCCCACTGGAGCAAATCGATGAACAACGGGAGGACAGTGACAGTGACAGCACCCTCAAGACTGATTCCTGGGCTGGACAATAGCACAGCGGGTAGGGCGTTTGCCTTACACGCAGCCAACTCGGGTTCGATTCCCAGCTTCCCATAGGGTCCCCGGAGCACCAACAGGAGTGATTCCTGAGCGCAGAGCCAGGAGGAACCCCTGTGCATCACCGGGTGTGACCCAAAAAGCAAAAAAAAAAAAAAAGAGGTTCAGGACTGGAGCGATAGCACAGCAGGTAGGGCTTTTGCCTTGCACACAGCCAACCCGGGTTCGATTCCCAGCATCCCATAGGGTCCCCCAAGCACCGCCAGGAGTAATTCCTGAGCGCAGAGCCAGGAGGAACCCCTGTGCATCGCCGGGTGTGACCCAAAAAGAAAAAAAAAAGAGTGACTCCTTACCGCAGAGCCAGGAGTGAGCCCTGAGCATCCCCGGGTGTGGTAAAAGAAAACAGGGACTGGGGAGATAGCAGAGAAGATAGGGCACTTGCCTTGTAGGTGACCAGTCTGCCGCTGAGCACAGAGCCAAGAATATGCCGTGAACCCTGGTTTTTTGGGGGGGTTGTGACCACCAGAGCCCCTCCTCCCCTCCATGGGATTGCCAGACCAGAAATATCCATGAACAAAATGTCCATGAATAAAAACCGGGTGAGTCGGGGCTGGAGCGATAGCACAGTGGGGTGGGCATTTGCCTTGCACGCGGCCAACCCGGGTTCGATCCCCAGCATCTCATATCGTCCCCCGAGCATCGCCAGGAGTAACCCCTGTGCACCAGCGGGTGTGACTCAAAAAAAAGAAAAAAAAATGGGCGAGTGGCGCCGGGGGGATGGGTGGGGGGCGGTGCTGGGCGTCGGTTATCCACAGACAGGGTTTTGGTGGCAGGAAGGGCTGTTTTGGACCCTGTGGGCACTGTGGGTGTCCTAAACATTAGTGAATCATCATGGGGGGGGGGCTGGGTTCCGACCCACCAGGCTCAGCCCTTACCTCGCCCATCACGGCGATGGGCGTCTCCCCGGTGGCCTCGGCCACGCGGTGCTCCACCAGGTAGAACATGTATTCGTCATACAGCAGCCGGATGAGGTGGAAGGAGCCGAAGCTGGCGGCGCTGCGAAGCGTCAGGTCCCGGATCACCATGGAGCTGGGGGCAGGCGCACAGAGATTGGGGACCTTCCTGGGGCCAGAGACGAACCCCGCCCCGGGCACCAGCCCCCACCCAGTGCGGCCAAGCTCTCACACCAGTCAGCCCTGCAGACCCCCGTGTCCCAGGAGAGCACAGCCACTGGCTCCAACAAGCACGGGGCTGCAAGCTGGAACAACGGCACAGCGGGGAGGGCGCTGGCCAACCCGGGTTCTGTCCCTGGTACCCCACAGGGTCCCCCAAGCACTGCTAGGAGTGATCCCTGAGTGCAGAGCCAAGAATAAGCCCTGAGCACCACTGGGTGTAACCACCCCCCCCCCAAAAAATACCAAAAAGCATAAAGGAAAATTCCAGGCTTCTCCCAACTAAGCAGGGCTTTTTTTTTTGGGGGGGGGGTTTATAGGGGGCGTTGCTGGGAGAGCTCAAAGGACTGGGGGCGTCCATGCGTGCAGGTGGCCTGGGTTTGCTCCCCAGCATCTCATGGTCCCCAAAGCACAGCTGAGTGTGGCCTCCAAAGCCCAAAGGCCAGAAGGAAAAAAAAATAAAACAAAAACTAGGGGCTGGAGCAATAGCACAGCGGGTAGGGCGTTTGCCTTGTACTCGGCAGACCCGGGTTCGATTCCCAGCATCCCATAGGGTCCCCTGAGCACCGCCAGGAGTAATTTCTGAATGCAGAGCCAGAAATAGCACCTGTGCATCGCCAGGTGTGACCCCCTCCCCACAAAAAAAAAAAAAACACCTAAAGTCAGACAGCGTTCTGGTCCTTCTGGTAAAGGATCACCGAGCTTCCGGTGGTGTCCCCCTTTTTTCCGGGGAACACTCAGCACTAGGTAGGCCAGCCCTGGATGGTTTTGTTGGTAGGGGAGAGCCCCTGCACAGGTGGGGGGCGGGCCCAAACACGGCTGGGTCCAATCACAAGGATGGATCCACTTACGGGGGCGGGCCCATTCGAGACACTAGGCCCAATCACAAGGGCGGATCCACTTGCGGGGGCGGGCCCATTCGAGACACTAGGCCCAATCACAAGGATGGATCCACTTACGGGGGCGGGCCCATTCGAGACACTAGGCCCAATCACAAGGATGGATCCACTTACGGGGGCGGGCCCATTCGAGACACTAGGCCCAATCACAAGGGCGGATCCACTTGCGGGGGCGGGCCCATTCGAGACACTAGGCCCAATCACAAGGGCGGGTCGACTTACGGGGGCGGGCCCATTCGAGACACTAGGCCCAATCACAAGGGCGGATCCACTTGCGGGGGCGGGCCCATTCGAGACACTAGGCCCAATCTCGAGGGCGGATCCACTTGCGGGGGCGGGCTCATTCGAGACACTAGGCCCAATCACAAGGGCGGATCCACTTGCAGGGGCGGGCCCATTCGAGACACTGGGCCCAATCACAAGGGCGGATCCACTTGCGGGGGCGGGCCCTTCGAGACACTGGGCCCAATCACAAGGGCGGATCCACTTGCAGGGGCGGGCCCATTTGAGACACTAGGCCCAATCACAAGGGCGGATCCACTTGCGGGGGCGGGCCCTTCGAGACACTGGGCCCAATCACAAGGGCGGATCCACTTGCAGGGGCGGGCCCATTCGAGACACTGGGCCCAATCACAAGGGCGGATCCACTTGCGGGGGCGGGCCCATTCGAGACACGGCCCAATCACAAGGGCGGATCCACTTATGTGGGCGGGCCCATTCGAGACACTAGGCCCAATCACGAGGGCGGATCCACTTGCGGGGGCGGGCCCTTCGAGACACTGGGCCCAATCACGAGGGCGGGTCCGTTCGCAGGTCTGGGCCCCCCCGCCCGGGAGCCCAAGCGCGCCGCCTCTGCTCTCCCGTGGCCTGGGGGGGGGGGCGCGCCGCGGGGCCCCACGCACCTGTAGAAGGACCACTTCAGCAGGAACTGGCGGGCGGCCTTGGGGAAGCTGGGGCTGCCCGCGTGCTGCTTCAGCACCTGCGTCACCACGTTGTCCAGCCAGCCGGCCCACTGGTCCAGCGAGCTCTGCTGCTGCAGCGTCAGCTTGAAGTCCTGCTCCAGCCGCTGCACCACGCTCTCCTCGCACTGGCACACCCACGAGGCCTGCTCCTGGGCACGGTCAGCGCGGCGAGGTCAGCGCGGCGCCCCGCCCGCCCCGCCGACCCCGCTCTTCACAGCGGCCACTGCTCCCGGCGCCCACTTATCGGAGGAGAAATCCAGGCCTCTGGGCACAAAGCTCAGCGGCACCCGCAGCTCCGGGTTGCTTCATACATTAGTTCTTTATTTTTGGTGGGGGGCACTCCCAACGGTGCTTGTGAGTCCTTGGGGGCCAAACCTAGACGCTCCTACAAGTGCTCTTGAGCCCCCCTTTTTTTTAATCCTTATTTTTGTTTATTTATCTTGCTTTTGGGGTCACACCCTGCGATGCTCAGGGGTTAGTCCTGGCTCTGCACTCAGGAATGACTCCTGGCGGTGCTTTGGGGGACCACACGGGATGCCGGGGAATGAACCCAGGTCAGCTGCATGCAAGGCAAACGCCCTCCCCACTGGACTATGGCTTCGGACCCCCTGAACCCTTTGCTGCTCAAAAATATTATTTATTTTTTGGTCACACCCGGCGATGCACAGGGGTTCCTCCTGGCTCTGCACTCAGGAGTTACTCCTGGCGGTGCTCAGGGGGACCCTATGGGATGCTGGGAATCGAACTCAGGTCGGCCGCGTGCAAGGCAAACGCCCTACCCGCTGTGCTATCCCTCCAGCCCTTATCTTTTAATTTCTTGTTGTTGTTGATGCTGGTGTGGGGCTGGCTATACCAGACAACACTCCTGGCTCCCTCCTGGCAGGGCTGGGGAGAGCCTGGCTGGTGCCAGGGTGGGGGTGAGCCCAGGTCAGCCAAGGGCCCTGCCCACTGTCCTTTCTCTCCGCCCCGTGTGTCCACTCGTGGAATGGGTGATCTCAGGCGCGAGCAGCGTGGCCGCGACAGCAGGACGGCAAATGTCTCTGTCCCTTTTCCAGTGCCGGGGAAGGACACCCCGGGGGTGCAAGAGGTTCTCGCTCCAAAGACTGGGTGTGGGGGGGGGGACCCAAGTCTCAGTACCGCACCTGGCCGCCAGGGGGAGCCCGAGAGGACGCGGAATTGGGGAGGTGGGCGAGGGTGGGCGCGGGAATTTGCCCCCCCCACCCCCAAACAGCTCCCGGGAGCCGGGAGCCGGACCCTGACCCTGCTTCCTTCCCAAGGGCAGAGGTCAGGCCCCGGAGGCAACCCCCTCGGCCCGCCTCCCGCCGGCCCCACACGCACCTGCACGTTGGCGAAATCCACGCGGTTGAGGTCGCTGAGCATCTGGCTGATCTGGGACGTGTTCTGGAGCACCGCGCGGGCCGCCTGCGCCAGGTGGTTCAGGGACGTGTAGCGCCGCAAGGTCTGGGCGAAGGCGCTCACCACGCCCACCTGCGACCCCGAACAGGTGGCGGGTGGGCCCAGGCCCACTGGGAGTGGGAGCGGGACCCGCATCCCCCCCCACCCCCCTGCCAGTTCAGCTTCAGAGTGAGGACAAGGACCGTACAGATTTCGGGGAGGTTGCAAGCTATGAAACACCAGCTCCCGGAAGAGAATAGCGCAGAGTCTCCTGCCCCCTGCACCTGGCTGTCCTCGCCAGGGCCCCTTGGAGGGGAGCGGGTTGAGTTTCCCTCCCCGCCCCGACCAGGGCTCCGGCAGCCGAAGACCTCCAGGACCAGCCACCACCATGCTGAGACCACTCTCCGCACACATGGAGGTACCGGCAGAGGAACAAAGGCATGCGGGTCCCGGGGCTGAGATCTGCAAGCCCGCTCGGATCGGGGCTGAGCATCCTCCACCCAGATCCTCCAGATTCCAGTAGGCAGGGGTCACACCCACCAACTGACCCCCTAGCGCCATGTAATCTCACCAACGGTCAAGACCCAGAGACTATAAAACCCAGCTCCCGGAAGCAACATCTTATTATCTCATTCCTACTTTGGACAACCTGGCAGGCTACCGAATGTCACCTGCCCACACGGCAGAGTCTGGCAAACTCCCCGTGGCGTCCCCAATATGCCAAATACCAGTAACAATGACGGGTCTCATTCTCTGAAAGAGAATATGCCAAATACCAGTATGCCAGGTCCCAATATGCCAAATACCAGTGACAATGATGGGTCTCATTCTCCTAAAGAGCCTTGAATACAGCACTTTCTTAAAAATCTCAGGGCTAGGATGAAGGAGACGTTACTGGGACCTGCTCGAGGCAATCAACGAATAACACCACCCCAGGGTTCTGTGGAGCTTGGAAAACCCATGGACCCCCAGGTTGCAGGCAGATCGACCAGACGCCCCAGTCTGGGCTTCTCTGTAACAGCTCTACCACGTTCCAGAAAATGCTAGACAAGCATTCTCCTTTTCACATGTAAACCACACCCCCACTTTTTTTTTTCTGGGGGAGGGCCACACCTGTTCTTGCTCAGGGTCTCCTAGCTCTGCTGAACTCAGGGAGTTGCCTCAGCCAACATATTTCTGAGTGTCCTGCCTGCAAGGGGTCTTCGGAAGGACCACCCTGCGTTCTCTGTGACCCAGCAGCCCTCAGCTCCTGCCCCCACGGGGCCCAGCAGAGGGCGGGGAGGGGACTCGGTCCTGTCCCAGCGGCTGCTGCTCCCCGCCGTGACAGTTACCTTGGTCTGGATGACCCGCGGCGGGAAGTCGCTCATGGCGTTGGTCAACCAGCTTTCCAGGCTCTTGGCGAAGTTCCGAATGGCCTGTGTTAGGGTACCTGGGACAGACAAACCCGTTGACTGGCCCCAAGAAAGCGAGGTGCCTGCGAGGGAAGACCGGTCTGGGGACGGGAGGTGAGCAGGGTGAGAGCACCGAGTGAGCTGGGCCCGCCTGCTGTCTGTCTGCTTCCCGGGGACCCTGGGAAGTGTCCAGGGACATCGGTGGTTGTCAGGGATGGGGTGTCCCTGGCACTGGAGGGGCAAGGGCCAGGAATGCTGTTTACAACCCCTGGGCCTCCCCAGTGACCCAGACCCCCTATACCAGTGGCGTCCACTGAATCCCTCCACGAGCGTTAAGTCCAACCGGCCAATCTACAGATTCACTTCGAGGCTTTTTTTTAGTTTGTTGGTTGGCTTGGGGCCACACCTGGCAGTGCTCCGAGCTTCCTCCTGGCTCAGGGACCACGCAGCACAGGTCCCTTTAGAAAGGACTTGCGATAAGCAATATGCATGCGCTGAAGATGTAACACAGCCCAGAGGGCACTTGCCTTCATGTGGCTCACCTAGGTCCAATACCCGGCACCACACGGGGGTCCCTCAGACTCTGCCAGGAGTGATCCATGAGCCCAGAACCAGGAGAAAGTTCTGAGCACTGCGGGGTGTCATTCACCCCCTCAATGAAAAGCAACAAAACTAGGGAGGGGGTAGATGGCACGTGTGTCAGCTGGACCCTGGTTCAAGCCCGGCACATCATGGGCTCCCCGAGCACCACGGGGGGTAGCTATGCTGGTCCTCAGCACTGCAGGGCCTGAGCACTGAACTGCTGGGTCCAGCTGGCCAAATACTGCCAGGAGTGGACCCAGCCTAGCTACGAACACAGCCTGCTAGGGAGGACAGACAAAAAAGAAAAAGAAACCAGGAGCCTGGGAAATGATTCAAGGGGCTGGAGCACTCACGCCCTGTCTGATATTCTGGTATCTTGGGGCCCCAGGCCTGGAGGTGGGGGGACGGAGAGGGGGGGAGTGCGGGTAATGGGTGCAGGAAGATGGGAGGCTGGTCGATGCTCACTGGGCACTGGCCGCAGGACGTCCGGGATGAGTATCTCCACCAAGGCCTGATACAGGATGTGGTCACAGTTCCTCATCCACTTGAGAATGGGGTCGCATTTACACAGAGACACCAGCTTGTCCTTCGGGAGGACGGCGCCTTCGGGTTCCTCGTCGCTGTGGTGAAGGTGGGGTGGAGAGGGGGGGAGGAGGGGGAGACAACGGGGAAGATGGGGTGAGCCCCAATCTGACGCCATCAAACAGCCCCAGATCGTGTTCATTCATTTCCTCCCGCTGCAACAAGGAGGGTCCGAAGCGGGTCCAAACCAGCTATGGAAACCGAAGGCACTAGGGGCCGGAGAGAGGGTACAGCAGGTAAGGCTCCTGACCCGGGTTCGATCCCCGGCACCCCATCTGGTCCCCGAGCACGGCCAAGAGTTGATTCCTGATCGTCGAGCCAGGAGCATCGCCGGAGGTGGCGCCAAACACACACAGACACACACACCCACACCCACACCCACACCCACACCCCCACACCCACACCCACACACACACACACACACAACAGTGCAGAACCCGGACTCACAGAAGAGGGGCAGGACCTGGGAGTGCAGACTTGGGAAATTAAGCAGGAAGGGGGCGGGGCCTGATCACTCCGGGAAATCGATTAGGGAAAGGGGCGTGGCCTGACCCTAAACGCTGAGGAAATCGACCTGAGAAAGGTGAGGGGTTCAAGCATCTGGGAAACCCGCACCCTTGCAGACACCGTGCGGCTGATGGAGAGGGCGGAGCACCAGGCAGTTACCTGGCGGGAAGAGAGGTGGGACGGTCCCCTGCAGAGGCTTTGGAGTTCCAGAAAGCCAGCCACAGCTTCTCGATGTAGTGGAACTGCAGGTTCATCACGACGTCCAGGGTGGCCTGGGGACAAACAAGGCTGGTCGCTCACCTGCCCCAGGACCTCGCCCCAGGGAGTGGCCGCTGCGGGGTGGGGGGTCTCTGGATACCGACCCCACCAGGAGGGGCTGGAAATGAACGAAGCCCCCACCCCACCCCAGGTCCAGAGGGCGGAGGGAGAGGTGACCCTGGCTGGTGGCGGGAGGGACCATCACCTCGCAGTGCCGCCGGTAGACCACCTGCAGAGTCTTGACGTCGCGAAGGGTGACATGGTCCTGGAGCACAGCGCCGCCCAGGTCGGGTGCTGGGAACTCCGGGAAGACATGGGAGACATCTGGCAGGGAGGGAACACGAGGGGGTGGGGCTAAGATCCCGCCTGGGGCCCCCAGGATAGAACCTGGGGTGCTGGCCGTCTCTGTGGTGACCCTCCAGGGAAGGTGTGATTGTCCTTTCTAAGAACGCAACAAAAGGACGAAACGGGGGAGGGCACTTGCATGTGGCAGACCCAGGTTCAATGTCCCGCACCCCATATGGTCCCCTGAATCCCGCCACAGTGATCCCTGAGCACAGAACCCAGTGTCAGCTCTGAGCACAGCTGGGTGTGGCCCCCAACCAACCAAACATGCCCTAATAATAGGGGTTCAGGATAGAGTGCGGTGGAAAAGGCACTCGCCTCACACACGGTCAACCCCTATTCAATCCCTGGCAAACCATCCGGTCTCCTGAGCACGGAGTAAGCCCTGGAATAAGCCCTGAGGTCATCAGAAATGGACAAAGCCACCCACACCACTCCAACTCCCTCAAATTAGGGCAGGAGTGAAGGTCTGGGAACGGGATCCCAGGAGGCAATCCCTTACTGCTCCTGCCCCTGACCCGGAAGCATTTAAAATCCAACCTCTGGCTCACTCTCCGAGCCCACGTTCTCTCTTGCACACGAACCTCACTCTCGCTTGCTTGTTTCCATGTGTCCCCTCCCTAAGTGGGAGTAACCACCAGGGCCACTCAGGACATGCAAAAGGCCTCACATGTGCCAGGCGTGTGCTCCAGCCCTTTGAGCTATCTCCCTGGACCCTTACTTTGTCCGATGATCATTTTACACACATATACGGGGTGGGGACATAGATGCTGATGGTTCGCAAAACTCTAGGCAGTCACAAAGGTTCTAGAAAGTTCCAGAATGTTCTAGGTAGTTGAAAAGTTGTCCTCTATGACATCTAAAATCCCTGTGGATAGTACAGGAAGACCCATGCACACCCGGAAGTGCAGAGGGGACCCTGGGCACGTGGGGACCCACCGATGTACTGCTGGTGGTGCTGGCTCTGGGCGGCCATGACCTGCTCGGACGTGCTGTGGGGGCTGCTGTGGGAGCCACTGTCCGTGTCCGTCTTCTGCGCTGGCCGGTACCTGGGCAGGGGACACATGCCACCGTAAGCCCCACAGGAACAGAGAGCGGGGAACAAGCCCTGCCCAGGAGTCAGCTCAGAGGGGGACCCTGTGTGGCCCACACGTCTGGAACTCCAGATCGGATACAACCTCAAACCTGCCACGCGAGTCGCCTGCCCGTGCCAGGCCACAGGGTCTGAGCCTGTTCCCAGGGTTCCCCGGCACCGGCACCGCCTCTGGGATATTCTCTAGCCCAGGAGACAGCTTACCAGCTTCCCTTTCATCTTTCTGGAAAAGGAGCTGCCCCCTGCTGGGAAAGATGAATGGGACAGGAAGGGGCAGGCGAGAGAACATTCCAGAAGAACTGGGAGCTGAATGTCAGGCAGAAGCGAGGACGACGGCTTTGGCCGACCTGCCTTCTGGGGTATCCTGGGTGGTGTCCTCGCTCCCTCTCTCCCCAGAGCCGGGATCCCTCAGAGAAAGGCCAACGAGGGAGGGGTAGGGGACTGGGCAGTGTGGCATCCAGCCTCTCTCATGCTGCGGCCACCAGAGAGGGACCAGGTCACAGCGCGACCCCCAGACTGAACCACGGCTCAGCCATAGGCGTCACGTGACTCTGACGGTGCCTGGGCCTCCACCGTGGAGCGGATCTTCACTGCAAGAGGTTGCCACCCCCTCCCCCTTCCCACCTCCACTGAGCTTCCTACACGTGGCAAAGCCTGAGTATCCGGGGCCGGGCGTGTGCCTTGCACGCGGCCGAGCCGGGTTCGATTCCCAGCATCTCATAGGGTTCCCCCGAGCACCGCCAGGAGTCATTCCTGAATGCAGAGCCAGGAGGAACCCCTGTGTATCGCTGGGTGTGACCCAAAAAGCAAAAAAAAAAAAGCTGAGCATCTAAACTCAATGAACCCGAGTTTGCTTCCTCCGCAGTAGGACAGGGAGACCCTGAGTATGCAGGGATCGAAAACGGGCCCCCCTGAACGTCATTCCCAGGGGGCTGGAAACCACTTCAGAGAAAAGAGGCAGGAGGAGCCCGGGGGCCGTCCTTCCAGCGTGCTGGGCTGGGTCACACCTGTCCTTGTCTATTCCACACCGGGGGAAAACCGTGTTTTTTGACTGACTCCCGGGAGCCAGTCGGGCCGGGTGCTGCCCAGGGCACCCACCTGGGCTTCTGGTGCAGCGGCTGTTGCCTTATGGCCATGTACTGCGTGTCCTCCTGCAGCCGGTTCAGGGGCGAGTCTGGCTTCAGCCGGATCCCATAGTAGTGATACTTGGAGTTGCCCCTGCAATCCAAACACTCCGGGAGTCACTGTCGGCCCCCCCGACCTCGAGGGGTGAGACCGCGGCCCTGCCTGGGGCGGGAGGTCCTGGAGGTTATGCGCACTGAGAGGCCTAAGAAATCTTGTCCAGGGCCGGACATGGGGCCCGGTGAGCTGGACAGGTCCCGCAAAAAAAAAAAAAAAAAAAAACGGGCTGGAGCGATAGCACAGCGCGTAGGGCATTTGCCGTGCACGCGGCCAACCCGGGTTCGATTCCCAGCATCCCATATGTTCCCCTGAGCACCGCCAGGAGTAACCCCTGAGCATCGCCGGGTGTGACCCAAAAAGCAAAGAAAAAAAAAGGAGGGGTTGAGTGAAAGCGGGGGTCCCTGGGAGGGCTGGACCGCGGGGGTGGGGGGAAGATGGACACGGGGCCAGCAGGCAAACCCCCCCCACCTCAACACACCTGGTTCCCAGGCGCCGGGTCCGCAGGCCCATGAACACGGAGCGGATCAGCTTCCCGAAGGAAGCGGCGTTCACCGGGTCCAGCTTGTGCTCCTGGCAATGTCGCAGGTAATGGTTGTACAGGGAACTCCGGGGCAGGCTCACCCCTTCCGCGGTTTCATAATTATCCAACAACCACTGGAGCTAGGGAGACAGGGAGGGAGAGAGAGAGAGAGAGAGAGAGAGAGAGAGAGACCCGTGTGGGTGAGGTCGAGATCCCCACTTCCCCAAGGCGCGAGCGGGGGCGGGTCTTGCTGAGGGGACCCCACTCTTCCCCTCCACTGGTGCGTGTGGACACACATCCTGTGCTCGGCGCTGACAGAGTTGCACTTGCTAAGGTGTACGGATTCACGGGGAGCTCGCTGCCCTCCATTTCTCGAACTTTCCATTTCCAGCCTGGAGGTCCAGCCCTGGACTCGGTGGGGAAACACCTGTCTGTGACCGGGACCCTGGGGGCTCTGTCCTAACCATCAGGAGCTTCCCCCCCCCTCCCCCAGAGATCGCGCCTGCATGCCAAGCAAGCACCAAAGGTCACCCGGAGCTTCAGAAGGAAGCTGGGCCCCAAGATCTGGGAGTCAGGAAGACTCCGGACCACCGGGGCGAGGCATGCCCCCACCCTCCCCTCATTCAGCTCAGTGCCAACGAAGAGAGCATTCCTGAAGCCCCAGAGAACCAGCAGTCGGAAGGGCCAGAGGAAGGCCCGCCCGCATGGACCCCCATGAACACAATGTGTCCACCCAGCCAGCCAGCCACCCACTCACACATCCATGCATCCACCCACCCACCCTCCATCCTTTTTTTTTTTTTTGCTTTTTGGGTCACACCCATCAATGCTCAGGGGTCATTCCTGGCTCTGCACTCAGGAATTACTCCTGGCGGTGCTTGGGGGACCCTATGGGATGCCGGGGATCGAACCCAGGTCAGCTGCGTGCAAGGCAAACGCCCTGCCCGCTGTGCTATCGCTCCGGCCCCTCCACCCCCCCCCCCCATTTTTTTTTTGAGGTTTTGTTATGGGGCATTCCCGGTAGTGCTCAGGCATCAGAGATCACTCCTGGCAGGGCTTGGGTGACCATCTGGGATGTTAGGGATCAAACCAGGGCAGGCAGCTTTGAAGGCAAGTGCCCTACCTGCTGTGCTATCTCTCTGGGCCGTCCATCCATCTATCCATCTTTATGTACATCTACCCACGCATCACCCACCCACCCACCCACGCATGCAGGCACCGTCCATCACTACCATCATCCACCCACCCACCCACCCCCATCCATCCATCCTTCCACCCACCATCTATCCACCATCAGAGGCCCTCAGTCTGCTCCCCCATCCTGAGTGGTCAGCCTGCACCTCCCTTTTAAAGGCAGTCTTGGGGGCCCAAGTGGTGAGCTCAGCCTTGCCGCCCCCCGCGAGGGACCCGAGTTCAACCCCAGCATGTGCCGGGACCCAGCAAGGAGAGAAACAAGAAAACAAATTCCAGGAGAAAGGGGGCCTGGGGGAGAGGGGATGACAAGGGGGAGGGTCAGTGTGGGGGGCACAGGGTCGGGTGGGGGGGTGGGCACGCACTGCGTATGCAGGACAACTGAGAAAGCTCCAAGTCACCCCTCCCATTGTGTTAAGGGGCACCGGAGCCCCTCCCCTCCTCACAGCGCATGCGTGCCTGTGAGTCTGAGCCAGGGTCCCCTCCTGCCCCCGACCACCAGGTCTAGCACAGCGCCCACCCGTTTGTGCTGTTCTGGGGCACCCCAGTGGTCCCCTGGAGACTGGGCCGGGGGGGGGGGGGGCTCCACTGCTATCCTGCTTGCTCTGTCACTGAAAAACTGCTTCACCCTGCTTCTGTCCAAGCGGGCACCCCAGGGTGGGACTCGCTCAGATCCCACCCAGCAGGGAAAACAGGAAGCAGGAGACACGGGTGGGGGTGGGGGGGCTTAGGCTCATCCTATTTTGTCCCGGTTTTCACTTCTCCTTCCGTGTCCGGCAGTCTTAGATTACCAGACACACCTGGTATTTTCTGCTAACCTGGGGACAGTCCCCTCCCCGCCTGCCCAGAGGCACCAGCTCTGTCCTCTACCCTTCAGCCCTCCCCACCTCGCCGCCACGACATCTGCAAGATGCCTCAGCAAACACAGAGAGAAGTCGGGGTCCGAGAGAGGCAGGGGGTGGGAACCAGGGACTCTAGGGGGATGGACAGAAGCAAAGGTTTTTGGTTTTTTTTTTGCTTTTTGGGTCACACCCAGCGGTGCACAGGGGTTCCTCCTGGTTCATGCACTCAGGAATCACCCCTGGCCGTGCTCGGGGGACCATATGGGATGCTGAGAATCGAACCCGGGTCGGCCGCGTGCAAGGCAAACGCCCTACCCGCTGTGGTATCGCTCCAGCCCCAGAAGCAAAGGTTTTTATTTACTTATTTTGCTTTTTGGGTCACACCCAGCAATACTCAGGGGTTACTCCTGGCGGTGCTTGGGGACCATATGGGATGCTGGGGATTGAACCCGGGTCGACCGCGTGCAAGGCAAGTTGCTGTACTTTCACTCTGGCCCAGAGATTTTTTTCCTTTGTTTTATGGGGGATGGTGGCACACCCGGCCGTGCTCAGGACTTACTCCTGGCCCTGCACTCAGGAATTTCTCCTGACGGGCTCGGGGGGGACCCTTATGGGATGCTGAGAATTGAACCTGGGTCCACTGCGTGCAAGACAAATGCACGCAGTCCACCCGGATACTACCACTCTCACCCCTCGAAGCCAAGTCCTGACAGTGGGAGACTAAAACGTGATTCTTTGCTGTTTTGGGTTTTTTTTTTTTGGTCACACCTGGAGATGCACAGGGGTTACTCCTGGCTCTGCACTCAGGAGTTACTCCTGGAGGTGTTCAGGGGACCATATGGGATGCTGGGAATGGAACCCAGGTCGGCCGCGTGCATGGAAAACGCCCTACCTGCTGTGCTATCGCTCCAGCCCGTTTTGTTTTTTTAAAAAGAAAAAAAAATTGGGAAGAAACTGATCAGAGGGGCGGGCCTGGGCGACAGACCCCGCCCAGTGGGCGGGGTCCTGGACAACCCCGCCCAATGGGCGGGGCAATGCAGGTCGGGGGCGGAGCCTGCGAGCTGCTCAGTCCGGCGCCCCTGAACAGGCTCTTTTTGTCGGGGTAACCCAAGAGCTCCCGGGGCCTCAACACCTAGCCCAGGGGAGTCCAGGCAGGGGGAGCAGGAAGGAGGGCGGCCTGGCGCCCCCCACAACACCAGTCTGCTTTTTTGTTCTTCAGGATCTTATTTTCTGCTCTTTTTTGGTTTGGTTTTGTTGGGGGGGGGCATACCCGGCTCTGCGCTCAGGGGTCACTCCTGGAGGTGCTCAGGGACCCCATGGGGTGTCAGGAACCGAACCCTGTCAGCCACGTGCAAGGCCAGCGCCATTTCCGTGGTCCCACAGCTCTGGCCCCGCTTTCAGTTTTTCTTAAATGACTCTCCCCCCACTCCCGTTTTCGCAAATAAGGGTCACAAAGGACACACGGGTCAGTGGTGGGACACCACATGGTTCTGGGCATCAAACTTGGGGCTCCACACATGCCGGGCATCTACTCTACCCAGACCTAGCCATATTCCCAGACTTTTATTTTGATTATTGATTCTGACCAAAGATATGATGATCATAGGAAATTTAGTTAAGAATCTAGGGGCTGGAAAAACAACTACTGCAGGGACGGTGCTTGCCTTGCATTGGGCTGACCCAGGTTCGGTCCCCGGCATCCCATATGATCCCTAAAGCACCATCAGGAGTGATCCCTGAGCACAGAGCCAGGAGTAAGCCCTGAATATTGCCAGGTGTGGGCCCCTCCCCAGAAAACAAACAAAACAGAAGAATCCTTACAGGCATCCCTAATCTTGACTTTTTAATTGATTTTGGGGCACAGACGCAGCAGTGCTCAGGAGTTAATCCTGGTTCTGTGCTCAGGGGTGATTCCTAGAGGTGCTTGGAGGCCCCTAGGCAGTGCCAGGGCATGGAACCCCAGCCAGCTATGTGCAAGGCAAACACCTTCCCCACAGTACCATCTGCCTACCTGACCACCCCTCTTTTTTTTTTTCTTTTTGGGTCACACCAGGCGATGCACAGGGGTTACTACTGGCTCATGCACAATCAAGAATTACTCCTGGTGGTGCTCGGGGGACCACATGGGAGACTGGGAATCGAACCCGGGTCGGCCACGTGCAAGGCAAATGCCCTCCCCGCTGTGCTATTGCTCCAGCCCTGTGGCCTCCCCATTTTGAGTCTCATTTTTGAATACTATTTTTGGAGGGGGTTTACTGATCTCAGCGTTAATTTATTTGCAAGGCTTATTAGCTGCCAGGCATGATTGTTGAAGGATAGCACGTATAGTAAAAATTTTAATTCTGCCCAGAGGAAGGTACTACCATTCCATTTTTTTTTTTATGGGGTTGGAAGCACCACACCTATTGACTTTCAGGGCTTACAGATCTGGCTCTCCACTCAGGAATCACACTTGGTGGGCTTGAGGGAGCATGGGGGGTGGTGCCAGAGATTGAATCTGATTTATCCAGGTGCAAGGCAAATGCCATACCTGCTACACAATCCGGTCCAACCTACTGATCCATTCCATACTATTTATCTTCTATTTATCTTTTTTTTGGGGGGGGTTCTTGGACCACAAACAGGGATGCTTAAGGCTCACTGCCGGCTGTGTGCTCAGGAATCTCTCCCGGTGGTGCTCAAGGGACCCTGTGTGATGCTGAGGGGTAGAACTGAGGTCGGCTGAGGGCAAGGCCAGCCAGTGCCCTGCCCGGTACTACATCTCCAGTCCCTGGAGGGCTAATTGAGCTGGGTGTAAAATCCTAGGCTGCCTCGCCTCTGCCCTCCACTTCTCCCCCCGCTGCCCGCACTTCCAGGCACCACTTCCTGGCCTTTGCGGTCTCGAGGGTGCGGGGCCGGCAGCCCCGGTGGGGACGCCCCGTGGGACACACACTTACATGGCTGTTGAGTAAGCCGCTTTTGTGCGAGGCCACCCCTTCGCTTTTTTGGAGGTTCTCAATCGCCATTTCAAGCTAAAGAAAATGTGCGCCAGAAAAACAAAACGAAACAAAACAAAATGGGGGGGGGGAAGGAAAACAAAAGAAAACAGAGAAGAACAAAAACAGGAAATCAGGTGGTTAGCATGAGCCAAGATTTGTCGGTATTAATATCCAAATCATGATCTGCGTGCCAAGGGGAATCCAGAGGCTGGCGGGGCGCGGGGCGCGGGGCGGGTGCGAGCTCAGGCAAGGAGTGTTAACTGGAGAACGTGCAGGTTGGCCCAGGAGCCGCCGAACACCAGCAGGAGCAATGAGGTAGGGGGCCGAATCCGTTGGTGGACGTTGCTTGCGGTGCTGAGGATCGAAGCCAAGCCCCCCCCCAAGAAGCCCCTCAAGTGCACAGCCGCTGAGCCATGCCCTAGGTCCTGCAATCTGGCCTTTCTCTACCTTTTTTTTTTTTTTTTTTTTTTGCTTTTTGGGTCATACCCGGCGATGCTCAGGGATTCCTCCTGGCTCTGTGCTCAGGAATCACCCCTGGCAGTGCTCGGGGGACCATATGGGATGCTGGGAATCGAACCCGGGTCGGCCGCGTGCAAAGCAGACGCCCTACCCGCTGTGCTATCGCTCCAGCCCCCTCTCTACCTATCACATTTTCACCGAATAGACATGGGCACTTGAATCCTTGGCTGTGGCATGAATCCGAGCTGAGACATGGCCAGCTCCGCCGTGGCCCCCGGGGTCCCCCCCCATCCAGGAGAATCAGGCAAAGGATGGCTGGTAAGACTGGCTTCCAGCCATCACAGAACTCAGGGCTCCCCTCTCCTCTGCCCCCACCCCCGCCCCGCCGCTGCCCTCATGCAGAGGGGCCCAAGACCCAGGCCCTACCCCCTGAAGCTTGGGGCCCCTGCCACATCACAGAGAACAAGCTCCTGGGTGTGTACAATTACAGGGAGTCGCAGAGCACTTCATGGAAGAAGAGGCTTCTGAATTGGGGTTGAGGCCCCTCCACAGAGGCCAGAGCTGACTTCAGCCTGTCCCCAGACAGACACCCCACGGTGGATGCTACCGACCATTCTGGGTGGTGGGACTGAACCTTTCTTCACTTGTGCGTAGAAAACGAAAAGCTAAAACCTGCCCGGTCCCCTGCGCTGCCTGGGGTTGCAGCGGAAGGAGAAGGATGAGGAGCAGGAGCTGGAGCGAGAGGCCAGCCGGGAGGGCACTGGCCTAGCTCGTGGTTGACCCAGGATCAATCCCGGCATGCCACAGGGGTCCCCCGAGCACCGGCAGGAGTGATGCCTGAGCGCAGAGCCAGGAGTCACCCCTGAGCACTGCTGCATGAGGTCCCAAAACAATAACAACAGGAAAGCGTAAACTGTCTTTTCCTTCTTTCCTTTTTCCTTTTGGATTTTGGGCCACACCCAGAGATGTCCAGGGCTGACTCCTGGCAGGGCTCCGAAGACCCTAGGGGGTGCCGGGGATCAAACCTGGGTCAGCCACGGGCAAGAAGGCCAGCACCCTCCCAGCTGTCCTATTCACACACACACACACACACACACACACACACACACACACACACATACATTGCTGCCCCTTTGTTTCTTCTTCTTCTTCTCCTTCTTTTTACTTTCTTGAGGGGGGTGGGAATCACAGGTAGGAGTGCTCAGGCCTTAATCCTGACTCTGGATGCGGGTCAGTTGCACGCAAGGCCAGCACCCTTCCCGCTACACAATTGGTGCAATCCCTGAGACAGCAGTTCTTCAGCAGGCCCAGACTCCAGTCCACACACAGTTTCCCCCCCAACCCCGAGGCCTGCAGCTCTTGGGCCCCTGGGCACGGCCTGGTCTGCTGGTTTGGCCATGTCTAGCCACCCACCCAGACCCAAGCGACCTTCCCGAAGCCAACAAGAGCAGGCGCAGAACCAGACAGGTCTGTGCACCCTCTGTTGCCAGCCTTGTCCCATTGAGTCCGTGCTCCCTGCCAGAGGCTTGCTGTGCTCCCACACTCCTGGCTGTGGTGTGTGGGATCACAAGCAGGACCTGAGGGTGGTTGTCAACAGCCCTGCCAGGGGCCATCTGGGTTGGGGGCGGCCGGCTGGGGGCTCAGACCCCCAGGATTCCACTAGCGCTGAGCTGCCGAGTGCCTGGCTGGAAAAAAACAAAAAACAAAAAACCGTGCTTCCCACGCGAGAGAATGCAAACACACAGCCGAGAACCTGGGACGACATGGTGTGATGCTTCCATGGCCAACAGAGGACCCGTGTTGGGAAGGACAGAATTCGCTGATGTCATTAGCGAGAAAACAAGCCACCCATTGGTGGGGGGTGGGAGGCGAGGGAGGGAGGAAGGAGTCAAAGGGAAATCTCTGCTGACAGTGCTGAAAAGAGAAAACCTGAAAGGCAATTAACTGGGCATCTGACAAACCGGCCTTGGGAGGAAGAGGCGGCATCAGGAGACACCACCACAGACCCCAGGGCAACGGCCCCGGCCGCACAGCAACGCCTGGCCAGCAGGTGGCGCCCTGAGGCGGGAAGGGATTTGCCCCCTCCAGGACCTGCTCACAGGAAAAGGACCGCCTACCCCTGTAAGGAGGACACGGGTGTGTCCCTAAGGGCAGCTTTATTTATGATCTCTGGGCAGGGGGACCCGCCACTGGCACACGGGGGCGCAGGCACCCTTCTTCCCTCCTCCCCCCGCCCTGGGCAGCAGAAGGGAGCACCACTGCCACCACCCTCTGTGGAGTGGGGAGGACCAGCCTGAACACATCTCGGGAGAGCGCAGGGAGAGTGTCACTCCCCTCACGGAAACCCCCAAAGCCCAGTCCAGCCAACACCTGTGTGTGTGTGTGTGTGTGTGTGTGTGTGTGCCTATGTATGTGTGCATGTCTCTGTGTGTGTGTCCGTGTGTGCGTGTGTAGAATTATGAGGGGGGACACACCCACTCTGGGTCTTTGCTGCAGTGACTGCAACCCCAGTCTCTGGTAGGATCAAAACTGGGAGACAACACGGATTGGAGCGACAGTCCAGCAGGGAGGGCGTTTGCCTTGCACACGGCCGATCCAGGTTCAATCCCCGGCATCCCATGTGGTCCCCCCCGAGCACTGCCAGGAGTTAATTCCTGAGTGCAGAGTCACGCCTGGGGTGACCCATAAAAGCAAAAAAAAACCCCAAAAAGCAAAAACCAGAGATAGCACAGCGGGTAGGGCATTTGCCTTGCACGTGGCCGACCCGGGTCCGATTTCCAGCATCCCATATGGTTCCCTGAGCACCGCCAGGAGTAACTCCGGAGTGCAGAACCAGGAGGAACCCCTGTGCAACGCCAGGTGTGACCCAAAAACCAAAAAAAAAAAAAAAAGAAAAGAAAAGAAAAGAAACCGGGCACAGGTGATTACCCAGCAGGGAGGGTGCTGGCCTTACACACTGGGCCAACCTGGTTTCGACTCCCAGCACCCCAGAGGGTCCTCGGAGCCCTGCCAGGAGGCAGTCCCCAAGCACCATTGGGAGTGACCCGAAAGCTAAAAGAATGAATAACTCCACGAATAAAAACAGGCCCAGGATGGGGCGGGGATGGCGGGCTCGGCTCTGAGAGCCCCCAAGCCCCCAAGCCCGAGAGCCCTGGCCTCGGGACAGGAACACAGCTGAGAGGGGGCCGGGCGCGCATGCTCTGCTCAGTCCATCATGGGCCACGGAGCTGCCGGGAGAGGCGGCCCTCAGCCCCCGTCCCTGTGGGGAAGCGACAGGGGCCGTGACTGCTCTGGATGGGCCCATGAGACTTGGGGCCACACCCAAGGGGGCTCAGGAGTCACTCCCGGCTGTGCTTGGGTCGGGGCGCGCGTGGTGGTGGTGGTGGCCGGGATGGAACCCGGCGCTCCAGCATGACGAGCCTGCGCCCAGCCCCCTTGGTTTGGGGAGTTTGGGGCCACACCCTGTGGTGGGCGATGCTCCAGGCTGACTCCTGGTGGGGGGCTCTGGGGAGACCCTTTGGGGGTGTCGGGACTGGACCCCTGTTCGGCCGCGTGCAAGGCCAGCGCCCTCCCCGCTGTCCTCTCGCTCTGGACTGCTCTGGACCTGTGTTCAGGCTTCCAGTGGTCCCCGTGCGTTTCCTTCCAGGGTCACAGGCACAGATGCCCCCAAGGGCGAGAGGAACAGGCCTGGGGGTGGGGGGCGGGTCACTCCCAGGCCATCAGGATGGAAAACTGCCAGGCAGAGACGCTCTCCTGGGGTCCCCCCAGAAGCCCGCGGCTGGCGGCAGGGCTCCGGGCTGCCCGGGACCCAGCACCCTGGGGAGGCCGTGTGGGGGGCCTCTGGGGAGGGGGCGTGGGGGAGTTTAAGGCGCTGCACCCGGTCCCCGGGCTGTGACCCCCCAAGAGCTAGAGCCGCGCCCCGGACCCCGGTACCTACCGTCGCCGGGGAGGAGCGCGACGTCTGCGCCAGCGCGTGCCGGGTGCTCTCCACGCCCCCGTGGATGAGATAGGCTCCGGCGCCGGAGACGATGGGGCTGCCCGCGACGTCCATGGCGATGCCCACCATGCCGTGCGAGGGCACCGTGGGCGGCGAGGACCCGGCCACGGTCACCTGCGCCCCGCTGGGGGCCTCGAAGTAGGAGGCGGCGCTGCTGGGGGCGTAGAGCTGCGCCTCGGGGTTGTAGGCGTAGGCGGTGCGTCTGGGGGGGGTGGGCAGAGCCAAGCGGCCTCCTGAGACCCCGGGGACCCCGCCCAGCCCCCACTCCAGCAGCTGGGACCCCCCCCCAGAGCTAGAGCACAGCTCCCTGACAAAGCCTTATGGGCCCAGGGGCTGGAGCGATAGCACAGCGGGGAGGGCGTTTGCCTGGCACGTGGCTGACCGGGTTCAATTTCCAGCATCCCACAGGGTCCCCCGAGCACCTCCAGGAGTCATTCCTGAGTGCAGAGCCAGGAGGAACCCCTGTGCATCACCGGGTGTGACCCCCAAAAAGCAAAACCACAAGCCTTTACGGGCCTAGCCCCCGCAGCAGCTGGAATCCCCAAGATCTAGGGAACAGGCCCCCTGCAAAGCCTTACGGGCCCAGCCCCCCAGAGCAGCTGTGACCCCCCCAAGAGCTAGAGCACAGCCCCCCCCCCAAGTTTAAGGTGATCCTGTCGGATCCTTTTGGGGTTGAGGACCCCGGATACATGGGAATCCAATTGTACAATTGTAGTAAAAAAAAAAAATTTTTTTTTCCTTAATGGGGCCGGATAGTCCAGTGGGGAGGACTGCATGCAGCTGACCGAGGTTCTATCCCCATCAGGCCCCTGGAGCCGCGCCAGGAGTGATCCCTGAGCACCACCACGATGCAGCCCCCAAACAAAATTTTCTTTTCCTTTTTTTTTTTTTTTTTTTTTTTGCATCACACCCGGGGATGCACAGGGGTTACTCCTGGCTTTGCACTCAGGAATTATTCCCGGCGGTGCTCAGGGGACCATATGGGATGCTGGGAATCAAACCCGGGTCGGCTGCGTGCAAGGCAAACGCCCTACCCGTTGTGCTATTGCTCCAGCCCAAACAAAATTTTATAAGCACGTGAGGAAAGGTCCCCGGACCGGGCGCTGGTCCCAGGGCAAGGAAACTCCAGGTCAACTGCCACAAAGCCCCCACAGCCCGGCTCCCCACCATACTCCCGGCCAAGCCACCCCAGAAACCCCTACCAGACTCCTAATACCGCTAACTTTCTAAGAGCTCGGGGTGGGTCCCATTCGGCGGTGCTCAGGGGTGCGAGGGTGTCTGTGGTGCCCGGGTCAAGCCCAGGGCCTCTCACATGCCAATCGCGTGCCCCCCACTGCAATCACTTCCCCGCCTCCTGACGCCAACACCCCAAGGATACAATAACAAAAAAGCCCAAGTGGCCGATCCGGACAGAATGTTCCAGAAGAGCAGGCTGGAGCAATAATAGCACGTGGGGGAGGGTGCTGGCCTTGCACGCGGCCAACCAGGGTTCGATCCCTGGTACCCACCCCCACCTCCAGGAGGCCCCGAGCACTGGCAGGACTCAGCCCTGAGCACGCCTGGGTGTGCCCCCCCCCAAAAAAGAAAAAAACAACACAAAGAGGTCCAGAAGAGGCCCGGGACTCTGAGTGACCTCTCCGGCCGGAGAAGAAACCACGTACAAGGCTCCATTGGTGTACACGGCGTCGCCCCCTTCCACGTACTGCACCTGGGGGGGGTACACATGCTGCACGGGCTGGACCTGCAACAAACGCAGACGCTTCCGGTTACCCACGGCCACTTCCGGCCATGCACGGCCACTTCCGGCCACTTCTGGCTCTCCGACACCGTGCCCGTGGTGCTGAGAGCCCAGGCCCATCTCTGCATGGAGCAGGAAAGCACATCCCCCGGGGAGCCAGGAGGAGAGTGGGGGGAGGGTCCGAACTCCCGGCCTTGGTGGGCTTGGGGGACTCCCCACCCACCGGCCACTCCTGTGGGGGTGTCTCCTGGGGAGGACGCAAAGCCGGGACTAGGTCACCTTTCTGTTTTCGGGATCGCGGCGGGAGTGGGGGGGGGGGGGGCTGGGATGCCACACAGTGCCAGGGGACGGAAACCAGGACCCCCGAGGACAAAACCCCCAGCGCCATTCCCAGCTCTGGGCCCGGCTGTGGAAGTGCCCGAACACAGGGCATCAGGGGCCACAGTGAAGCTGGGAAGGCACTTGGCTTGCACACCTCCGGCCCTGGTTCAATCCCCAGCATCCCAGAGGGTCCCCCAGGGCACTGCAGGAGTGATCCCTGAGCACTGCCAGTGTGACCCCAAACAAACAAAATATTGGCAGAGGAATCTTCTTTTGTGGGGGCTGGAGCAATAGCACAGCGGGTAGGGCGTTTGCCTTGCACGCGGCCGACCCGGGTTCGATTCCCAGCATCCCGCGGGGTCCCCCAGCACCGCCAGGGGTGATTCCTGAGTGCAGAGCCAGGAGGAACCCCTGGGCATCGCCGGGTGTGACCAAAAAAAAATTATATATATATATGTATTCTTTTTTTGCTTTTTTGCTTTTTGGGTCACACCCGGCGATGCACAGGGGTTACTCCTGGCTCTGCACTCAGGAATCAGTCCTGGCAGTGCTCAGGGGACCATATGGGATGCTGGGAATCGAACCCGGGTCGGCCGCGTGCAAGGCAAATGCCCTCCCCGCTGTGTTATTACTCCATCACTCCAGCCCTGATATATATTTATGTATATATACATATATATATATATAGATGTATTCTTTTGTGTTTGTGTGTATTGGGGGATGAGGGTGGGGGTCTGGCAGTGCTGGGGGAACCATAGGGAACGTTGGGGGCTGAACCAGGGTCAGCCTTGGGGAACACAAGTGCCCAACCTTCTGTATTATCTCTCTCTCCAGCCTCCTCGTAGGTATTTTTTGGGGGGGCCCCAGCCAGTGGTGTTCAGAGCTTACTCCTGACTCTGTACTCAGGGAACACCCTGACATGGCTCAGGGGACCATCCATGGTGCTGGGGACTGAACCTGAGTGGGCAGCATGCAAGGCAAGTGCCTGACCCACTGTCCTCTGGCCCCAGTCAGCAGTCTTTTTATCTTGTATTTTTTTGGCTACACCCAGTGATGCTCAGGGGACCACACGGAATGCCAAGGATTGAATCCAGGTCGGCCTCGTACAAGGCAAACACCCTCCCCGCTGCCTGCCCCCCCTCTGGAAACACTCGACCCCACAGAGTCTTCTTCACAATTTTCATCACTGCCGTTGCAACCTGTGGAGTATTTTGATTTTCACCAAGCCACAGGGGGAAGTGGCAAAACTCCAGGCTCCCACCCTACCCACCCCCGACTCTGCCTTCACCTACCCCCCCTTCCGCCCCTCCAGGGATCTGACACGTTTCCTACCCAGACCCCCAGCAACCCCCAACTCTTTCTTGAGAGCCTGGCCCGCACCCCACCCACACGTTCCGAACTTGGGAATGAACCTCAGTTTCCTTGCTTCCTGGGGCTTGGTGCAAAACAACTCTGCAGTGAGACATTTCTACACAACCCCACCCCGATCCCCCTTTCCCAGAACCACACACACACAAAAAAACAAAGCTGGAGCCGGAGCGATAGCACAGCGGGGAGGGCGTTTGCCTTGCACGCAGCCAACCCGGGTTCGATCCCTGGCATCCCATATGGTTCTCCCCCTCCCCCCCCCCCCCGAGCACTGCCAAGAGCAATTCCTGAGTGCGGAGCCGGAAGGAACCCCTGAGCGTCGCTGGGTGTGACCCAAGAAGAAAAAAAAAGAAAAAGCAAGGCCAGCAAAGGAGGCCTGGATTGGGGGGAGGGTCCCCAATAGTTACCTGCTGCGGCACCGGCTGGACTCTGGGGAGGGAGATGGGCTGCATCGGGGCCCCTTTGGGGGCTGAGCCCGCTGCCTGGACCAGCACCCTCTACAAGGGAAGCAGAGAAGGATGTCAGACACGCACCGGCGTACGCAGGCTTGCACACACACACACACACACACACACGTGCACACACGTACACACTGCCCGCAAACACCCACGTACACACATACATTTTAGACACACAAACATGCGCACACATGTCTCATCCACACCACACCCACTGGGGGGCTCCGTGCAGCGCACATCCAGGAGGAAGGAGGGGTCCGAGGGGCCCTGGGTACCCCCCACCCTGCTCCCCGTGCTCCAGTCCTGGCTCTAGGGCTCTGGCTTCGCTACTCTGCAGCCCGCTCTGGGCGCACCCCCAGTCAGAAGCTTGGGGAGGATCGAGGTGGGTCGAGCTGGTGCGGGGGAGGGAGGGAGGGGGGGGAGGGAGAGGCCCCGGTGGGCGGGCAAGGGGCCAGAAGGTGTGCCCGGAGCTTCTGCAGTCTTCCCAGGGAGGGCCCAGGATGGTCCCTGGCAATCCTGGGGCGGAGGGAAAGGGCCTGGGGGCTCAGCAGTGCTTTGCCTTCAAAACTGAGAACAGGGGCTGGAGCGACAGCACAGCGGGGAGGGCGTTTGCCTTGCACGCGGCCGACCTAGGTTCGATTCCCAGTATCCTATATGGTCCCCCGAGCACCGCCAGGAGTGATTCCTGAGTGCAGAGCCAGGAGGAACCCCTGAGCATCGCCGGGTGTGACCCAAAAAAAGCAAAAAAACCAAAAAAAAAACAAAACCTGAGAACATGTCACAGGGCCGGAGCTATAGGACGGTGGGGAGGACGCAGGTTCCGTCCCTGGCATCCCACAGGGTCCCCGGAGCACCGCCAGGAGAGTGCAGAGCCGGGAGGCAGCCCTGAGCACCTCTGGCAGTGGCCCCCAAACAAAACCCAAAACAGAAAAACCCCTGCGAACCCTCCAGGCTCCGGCAGCGGGAACACACGCACGCACACGCATGCATACCGCACACACGGCCCCCGCCCCCAGGACGCCCCTCAGCTCGGGAGGGGACGCCTGACCCCCACACTATGTGCTCAGGGGCAGAAGCAGACAACCCCGCCTCCCCCCAAGCCCTTGGGGTGGGAATCCGCGGGATGGAAAAGTCCAGAACCCGCCACCCCTCGGCCGACAGCGGGGTGGGCACGGGGAGCTGAGGACTCCCATGGGGACAGGGCTCCCTGGCGGGTGGACGAGAAGGTTCTGGATCTAGAGAGAGGTGAGAGGCACAGGACACTGTGGGGTGGGGCGTGAACAGCACTGAATCGGGACCCTGGCAGATGGTTGCTTGGGGTCCACGGGGGGAGGGGTCCCCCCCAGCATGGGGCCAGGGGGAGTCGCTCTGCACGGGCGGTCCAATGCTGGCTGGACACTTCATTCGATGGTCTTATCTTGGGGGTTTGGGGTGACGGCCCGCAGTGTTCGGGCTTTCCCTGGCTCTGCAGACATCACTCCCGGGAACTGGCCACATGCAGAGGAAGCATCCCCCCGCCCTCCCACCCCCCCCCCCCCGCAGACTCTCTCCCACATCAGGGCTAAGAGGCAGGTCGGGTCCTGGGGGGCCGGGGGAGCTCGCTGGGTTTCCACCATCCTGGGAAGTTCTGTTGTAGGCTGTGAGGGGGTCAGGAGCAAGAGGGGGTGCTCCCTGTTCCAGGGGAGACGGTGGCCTCGAGACGGGGCCCAGACGGGGATGTGTCATGAAGGAGCGAGAGGGGGAGGGTGGGTCAGTGGGTCGGGCCGGGAGAAAGCGGGGCAAAGGGGTCACAGACCGTCCCAGCCCGAGACCAGAGCTCAGGGCTTCAGGCCCGGAAGTGCTTTGGTTTCTGGTTTGGTTTGGTTTGGTTTGGTTCTGCGGTGCTCAGGGACAGGCCTGGGAGCTTTTGCTCAGCGCTGGCCATTCACATGTGAGGCCGGGGTTCGAGTCCTGGCACCTGCCCCTTTTCGGGGGGGGGCCTGAATGATGGGCTCCCCCACCCAACCTTAATTCCCTTCCCTATCCCCGCCCCCCGCAGACTCCTGACCTTTCGATCCACAAACCGTGAACCCTGGCACACGCCGAAGACTTCCTGGTCGACCCCAAGGCACAGAATCTGGGTTCGGGTCTACTTTGGGGTGAGTTTCAGCCCCTGGTAGGAATCTGCAAGCCGAGGGCCTCGGTGTGAAAATTCCTCCCTTCGTGTGCCCCGCGGGAACCCTCCGTCCGTCTGCCCCAGTGAGGGTTTGGGCCGAGCCGAACCCTGAGACTGGGCTGTCCCTCGCCTGATCCGCGGAGACCTTTGTGCGTTCGAAGGGACAGTTCTTGGGGCCCGAGCGATAGCGCAGCAGGTGGGGCGTTTGCCTTGCACGTGGCTGACCCGGGTTCGATCCCCGACATCCCATAGGGTCCCCCCGAGCACCGCCAGGAGTAATTCCTGAGCACAGAGCTACGAGGAACCCTTGAGCATTGCTGGGAGAGACCCAAAAAGAAAAAACCAGCAAACAAAAACCCAAAAAGAATCAAAGGGGCATTTCTCAAGGCTGGGAGCGAAACAGATGAAGTTGGGGGCTGGGGTCAGCGGCCCGGCCGTGGGGACCATGACCCGCTCCATCCGCCCCAACACAACAAACCGTGTTAAAGAAGGGCTGTCTGCTTTTAGGGCCACCCCCAGTGGGGCTCACCTGGGGCCCCCACATGCAAAGTTTCTTTTGCTGGCTTTTGGTTTGGGGAGGGGGGGTCACACTTAGCAGTGCGCTGGGGTTATTTTCAGTTCTGTGCTAGGGAGGGGAGGTTAGCTCCCAGAGTTGCTGGGGTGGGGGTGGGGGGCGCTGTGTGGTGCTGGATGGACCCCCGACCACCTGCCAGCAGAGTGTGGGCCCGGCTAGGCCAGCTGATAGTCCCGGCACCTGAGTGGCTTCTTCGAGGAGTCTGGGGCCGTGGCACCCACAGGGAAGAATGGGAGTCAGCTGGAGGGGGGCTGGTGTGGCCTGGGGGAAGCTGGGGGGTGGTTTCCTTCGAGGGGGGCTGGTCTGGCCTGGGGGAAGGGAGGTTCACGCTGGGGCCCATGGGCTGCCCTGGAGAGGACCATTGGGTGGCACCACGTGGGAGGTCTCTCCTGTGCTGGAAGTGAGTGTGATCAGTGGAGGTGGGGGGCGTTACCTGCGGGGAAGGGGGTGGTGGTGAGGGCGTTACCTGCGGGAGGCAGGGTGGGGGTGTTACCTGCGGGAGGCAGGGTGGGGCGTTACCTGCGGGGAGGCGGGCACAGGCTGGGCTACAGGCGCGGGGGCCGCAGCGGGGCCCAGGGCGGCGGAGGCGGGCGGGTCGGCTCCCCCCTCGGAGTTCTGCATGCTCGCTCAGCGCGGCGCTGGAGAGAGGGGAAACGGGTGAGTGGGGGGCGGGCCTGGGGGCTCGGGGCAGCAGCTCCCTCTGCCAGCCGGGCCGGCGGCGGGACCCAACTCCAGCCCGCACCCCAGTTCCACGGCGGGGACCCCGCCTTGTCCGACCAAGAAGGGACAAGGCCGCGTCCTGGGTCCTTCGAAAGAGCCGAGAAGGTGGGCAGAGACGTTTTCCGCCCCGCGCGCCCCCAAAGAAGGCTCGGGTCAGGGCCATGCCCAGCGGCCTGCCACCCCCGTCCGTGCTTGCCCGGAGAAAATGGGTTTAGCTCCAGAGTCAACAAGAACCTTTAACCAGGGCCGGGGAGCCGGCTCGGAGCCAGGAGCGCGCGCGCGGCCTGCAGGTGGGTGGCCCGGTCCAGGCCGGGTCCAGGCCGGGTCCAGCCCCTCCCCGCGGCGGTGCCGACGTGAGAAGGCGCGGGACAGGCGGTGGCTTTGAGGTCTGGCGCACCTGTCCCCTCCCCGTGTGTGCCCAGCCCCCCCAGCATGTCTCCCACCCCCTGCCGCTGGGGGAGATCTGCCCGGTACTCACAGCAGGGTCCCCCACCCCCGACCCCCCAGCACAAACTTGCCTCGTCTCTCTGCCACTGTCATCTCCAAGAATGGGTCAAAACTTTTTTTTTTTGCTTTTTGGGGGTCACACCCGGCGATGCTCAGGGGTTCCTCCTGGCTCTGCACTCAGGAATTACTCCTGGCGGTGCTCAGGGGACCATACGGGATGCTGGGAATCGAACCCGGGTTGGCCGCGTGCAAGGCAAACGCCCTACCCGCTGTGCTATTGCTCCAGCCCCAAAACATTTTTTTAAGGTATTTTTTTTTGGGGGGGAAGGGGAGGGCCCACCCGCCCTCCCACCCAGCGGTGCTCAGGGCTGACTCCTGGCTCTGTGCTCAGGGCTGACTCCTGGTGGAACTAGGGGGACCCTGTGGGGTGCCGGGGATGAACCCAACCGCGTGCAAGGCCGCCCGCTGTGCTCCTGCCAGACCGCCGGAGTGGATTTGATGCCCCCGGTGCGGGCAGAAGCAGCCCTCCCCGCCCCCACCCCCGCCCCCTCGCCCCGGCCGGCCGGAGGGTCACTCGGCCCGCCGCGTTCTCTGGCGCTGACGCAGGGTGGCCGGCAGGTGGCGCCCGCGGCCCGCGGAGCCACCCCGGGGAGCCTGAACTCCGGGTAACCTCCCCCCACCCCCACCCCGCGCCCTGACCTCGGGCCGCGCTGACCTCGGGCATCCTCCTGCCCGCCAACGCTTTACTCTAGGCGGGGCGGGCCCTGGCCTTGCCCCGCCAGGAGTCAGCCCCGAGCACCGCCGGGTGTGGCCCCCCAGATAAAAATCAAACAAACCAAAAAAAAACAAAACAAAAACAAAAAAACATAATCCAGGTGTGCCGGCGGGGTCATTTGCACGCTGTCCCGCCTGTCCCGCAGCCTGTCCCGCCGGAAGCCCCGAGCAGGAAGAGTGGGATTCAAGGACCCTGGGGTGGGGGGCACAGGGGAGCCAGCACCCCAAGCAGGATCGTCTACTCCCCGGTCTCGCGTGGGGTGAGAGCGAGCCCAAGGCCTCCGGTGGGCACAAGGGGCTGACCCTCACATCCACGTGGACAGCTGTTCACAAGCTGTGTCCGTGTGTGTGCGCATGTGTGTGTGTGTGTATATGTTGGTGGGGGCGGACGAGCAAATGCACAGGGTTCCTGGGGCATGTGGGAGGGTGGTGGGAAACCGGGTCCCCCTGCCTGGACAACAGCGGCCAAGCAAGGCCCCGGGGGAAAAAGTCCCGGGCTGACCGCAGGGGGACAGACTGACAGTGGTGACCCGCCCCTCGCCAAGCCCAGGACGGCGCAGTGACAGCCACTGGGTCCAGGGCGACCAGGGACTCAAGTGACTCAGACCCAAAAGTACAGAACCTGGGGGGCGCGGGGAAGGGGGTGACAGTGGGTGGGACTCACCATGGGGGGAACTGACGGGGAGTGGGTGACTTTCTAGAAGTGGGTGGGCACATTCCCTGCTGACAAAGACGGGGGTCCCAGGGGGTGGGTGCAGGGGGGGTGGTGCAGAAGAGCCCACTGCCAACCAGCGCTGAAGCGTCAGGGACTCTTCACCTCCAAACCCTCTCAGGGCGGATTGGGGCCGCATAGGGCCCCCTGGGGACCCCAACACCGACCCGAGCCCACGGGCGCGTGCGTTCTGCGCGCCTGGGACCGGCGCAGCCCCGGCCTGCAGGGGACACTGTGGCCCAGCCCGGCGGGCCTCGGCTTCCAGCCGGGATGAATGAACAGCCGCCCGCCCGCCCCGGGCACAAAGGGAAGAGGCTCGTGTTAGCAGGAAAATACTCGGTTGCCTGGCGACCAGCAATGACAGGAAAGGAGCCGCAGAAAAGGCTGACGGCGATTTCTGGGCCCGGTTCCTGGCCCCGACGCCCGCTGACTCACCGTGCCCTTCAGCAACGCCGGACTATTCCTGTCCCCCCAGATGCCACCGGGGGCCACCCCCGCCGGGCCCCGCCCCCGGGGTCAGCCGGGACACGGGGTCGCCCTCCTCCGCGTCCCCTCCCGCCCCCCCCCCCCATGGCACCGGGCACAGGTGCCCCAGAGAATGATTAACAGCGTGGCCCGGAACAAGCAGAAACAAGTCCAGAAGGTTCTCCGGAGGCGCTGGGCTGCAGCCAAGGGTGCCGGCGTCTGACACGCGGGGCAAGATGAGTGCGACCCCAAGATGCGGGCGCCTGCCTTGCCCGCATCCTCTCTCTGGGCACTGGGGTCTGGCCCAGCCCATCTCAGCCCTGCTCAGGGTCTGGCCCCCAAAGGAACCTGATTGGCTGGGAAGACTCAGCCCCCCCCCACCCCAGTCCCACTCCGGAGACTTGGAGAGCTCACAGCAGGGGCTGCCACAGCCGTGCATGGTTGGCTCCCTCTGCAGTGCTCCCGTGCCAGGGGCTCCCTCCGGCAAGGCTCTCACCCCTCACTGCAGTGTCTCCTGACGTGTGGGACCACTTCAAGGAGAGGCGTGAGTGACCGGCACTGGGGAGCAGACCAGAGGAGGACACGGGGTCCCCCGCACCCTGCGGTGATGAGAGGAGCAGGCACCCCCCAGAACACAGAACACTGTCATCGGCAAGGGCAGAGGGGCCGGGACCGCAGTGTGTCCCCTGCTCTGGGGCCTGTGTCCCCAAGGGCCTATTTCTGCCACTTTCCTGCTGTCCCCAGGCAACCGTAGGGCTCCCCCACACCCCGACTTTCCTCAGTCCAGTTTTAAGTTTCTTCTGCAGGCGGCGGGGGTGAGGGGGGGGCGGGCTCCAAGATTCTGGGCAAGAAGTTGCTGCAGAATTCAAATTCCTTTTTCTTTGGGTAAGAATTAGGCTTGGGCGCCGGCTTCCTTTCAGGATCCAAATGCGCTCTCTCTCTCTCTCTCTCTCTCTCTCTCTCTCTCTCTCCCCGCCCAGCCCCAGCCTGAGCCCTGGGCATCAGCCCCCCCCCCCACCCCAGCGACTCTTGGACAGGACTCGGGTCCCGCCTCGGTGAAGGGGCTCGCGGTGTGCAGTTCGCTCCCAGTGCGGCTCAGCTGTGCTCTGCGCTCCCGTGGATGCGGGGAGGGGATCCCCGGACCCAGTCCCGGCCCCTCTGGCGCGCTCCACCACCAGACTCTCGTCCCGGTGCTGCTGCGCCGTGGACCCCAGAAACACCACGGAGCGTGGCTTCCAGGAAGGGAGCGCAGGCTGCCGAGCTGGGGAAGCGGCCGAGGAGGGTGTCAGAGCCCACACAAGTGTCTGCGTCCACGCACCCGCCACGCACACGTGTGCGCGCTCGTACCACGCGCGGGCTGAACGTGCACGCCCACTTACAACTGGCGCACACGTGCGAGGCACAAGGCACGCGCGTGTCACACGCAGGCGAGCACGTCCACACCCACGCGCCGCCGCCTATGCACATGCGTACACAGCGGCCCCTGACCAAGGCTCAATCACCCCCCCCCCACAGCTGTGACAGCCCGAGGGGCCCGCTCCGCCCCCGAACAGTCTCCTCACCCCCACCCCGACCCCAGCTGGGACTCAGCCCCGAGCGCCCCACCCCACCCCCAGCACAGCTGTGCGCCCCGCCTCCTGGCGCTGGCACTCCTCCCTCCGACTCTGCCAAGCCTGGAGGGGACCCCCTTTCTCCTTCCTGGTGACCCCCACCTCCAGGACACCCCTCCCTGCCCCTGGTGTCAGGCCTGCCACTCGGGGAGAGTGGCGGGGCCTGAGGGCCCCCAAAGGGACACCCTGTGTGGAAGCGGGGAGGGGCGCGTGGGTAGGGGAGGGCGGTGATGGGTGAGTCTCAGACCTGAGGGGCTCCGAGGGAACCCGCTGCGGGCCACGGAGCTGGGGTACTGACTTGCACCCTGCGGCCGAGCCTGCCACACCCGAACACTGCCCGGGCAAGGGTCGCAGAGAGCAAAAGGCGGCATCAGGACACGCACATGGTGGGACGGGTGATGGGGCGATCGCGGCGGCAGAACCCGGGAGGGACGCATGAGGGCTGGTGGGGGGGGCACGGGAGCAGCACACAGGAGCCGTCGGGTCAGCACTGACCACGGGGAGGTTATTTCCAGAGGGTCACGGGCGATGGAGACTCAGGGACTGTCACAGGCCTCCCCCGCCAGTGACCCAGTGTCCACCCCTCGAGTCTGGGCCATTCATTCCAGTGCTCAGAAGAAAAGCGGGACCCAGGGCTGGGGGGCGAGGACCCCAGAGACCCCCAAGGGCAGCAGCAGCAGCCGTGAGCTGACTGGGGGTGCTCGGAGACCCTCAGCCAGGCACTGGCCTGAGGTGGGTGCGCGCCTCGCAGGCGCTAGATGGGGAGTGGCCCGGGGCCGTTCTCCTTCAGGATCCCAGATGGGCCAGAGCGACAGCACAGCGGGGAGGGCACCTGCCTTGCACGGAGCTCACCTGGGTTCGATCCGCAGCACCCCGTAGGCTGCCTGCCAGGAGTGATCCCTGAGCACCA